AACAACAACAACAACAACAACAACAACAACAACAACAACAAAAACAACAACAACAACAACAACAACAACAACAACAACAACAACACAAACAACAACAACAACAACAACAACAACAACAACAACAACAACAACAACAACAACAACAACAACAACAACAACAACAACAACAACAACAACAACAACAACAACAACAACAACAACAACAACAACAACAACAACAACATTACTGATACTATGAAGCATAGTAATCATCTCATTATGTGGTGTGCTGATCAACAATTACAATTGTAATGAGATACTACAAGAATTTTTTCTACCTCTGTTCAACCTTTTGAAAAACATTGAGGCCGAATTCGCACCCTCCAGCCCCCTCCTGGCGTGATGATCTAGTCTCGTGTGTGGTAACAGGTTTTTGAAGGGTTTGCCCAAAGTTTGGATTTCCTTTTGGGGTTACCCGATAGGATTCTAAATCTGAGCCCCCCAAAGGAACTACTTTGGGGCCTTAGCGTAGGCTTTAGGGTCCCGAAGCAAAACTTTGGTTTATTAAAAGGTGGGTTTAAGATTCTTGGGATTCCTTAGTATGAACCCTATTATGGGAACCCTAATCCCTACTAATTAAACCCCCATAGGCTAAAACCCCTTTGGCCTCCTATGAATACCATTAGCTGGCGGTTTGGCGTGAGGGCTTGTGGTGTAGCATCGGGAGGGTTTGGGCTTTAGGGGACAGCCCGATATGCATTAGGGTCCCTACTACAACAACACATTGATGATCGTCAAAGAAGGGTGTTAACTAACGGAGGTCTGCAGCAGAATTAACACCGGAATGCGAGCGACACAGAATCATGGATATGCATCCCTTGGGAATTAACTCGCACCCGAAGCCCCAAAACCGCTGGTGGACTAAACGTTGCACGTCGCGGATTCGCAGTCTAGGTTAGGCACATGAACACCATACTCCAAGACATAGGCTGCAAATTAGGATGCGATGTCATGCGGCACATCAATATACTAAAGACAGATCCAAGTTGCCCCGTGAGCTAGCGGCAAGCTAGATGCCAGTGTCACCAGTACCACTTCCGCGACCCTAAACCCAACCCCTCTCAGCCACTACTGCGGGGCCGGTATCTTTGGTAACCTGGAAGCTCTATCGAGCGTAGAAGTAACGCCTGACGGTATCATCGATCCGAAACCCTCACGCCTGAGCAGCCTTAAACCTCGAGCTGCTGAGCTCCTACGTGTTGAGTTGCTTGAACCATGCCATGACGGCATATAAAGACCTCTGAGTTGACAGAGTATGACTATTGTACCCTAAACCCAAAACCCCAAACTCCTAAACCCTAAACCCCGAACCCCAAAACCCTAAACCCCTAAATCATAAGTCCCCAACCCTAAACTCCCTACAGGCTCCGCTAGGGTGAAGGGGCTTAGGGTTCAGGGTCTAGGGTTTACGGAAAAGGGCTTAGGGTTGAGGGTTTGGGGAAAAGGGCTTAGGGTTGAGGGTTGAGGGTTTTAGCACCTACTTTGGGATCTCGTCTAAATATACGCTTGTGCTTTGGCTTCTTCGTGGAATCTTCGGGACTGCAGATTTGGCTTCAGGTCTCTACGGGTACTCCCTTAGGGTTTAGGGTTTATTTAGGGTTTTAACGCAGCTCTTTGACTCTTTTGTGCTGAACCACTTCTATGGCCAGGATTCTTAAAAAGAGTAACAACGCAACCTAACCAAGCAGCAGAACCCTGCCCTGAACACTCGAGTTCTAACTCTACATGTAACCCTGCAACCCTGAACCTCAAGCGTGGGAACTGCATTGTATAATCCCCAGAGGGTCCATATACACTATCATTATGGAACTGGGCTCTAAAAGACCATCCCCACTATGGTTTTGGGGACCTAATTCCATAATAGTAGTGTATATGGACCCTCTGGGATCTAAATCAGCACTTCAACAGTTGCAGCCAATAGTTAGGGTGTAAAGTAAAAGCCAGAAAGTTGGAATATGGTTATCCTCAACCCTTTATGGTAAATTATAAGGTATCCTACCCTGAAACCATATTCCAACTTTCTGGAGTTCCCTTTAGGAGGAGGCTCCCGGTCGCAGGGTCTTTAGAAGGGGATGCGAGTTCCCATAAGAGTACTTGAAGGGTTATACACAAGAACGGTCCTGAAATCGAGCTAGGTGACGATCAACAGGAACTACATTCCCCAAGACCCTAAACCCTGATCTTCATGTTTTGCTGCTCTAGATGTATTGTAACCTAATTCATGGATTAACCAAGATTTGATATGGGGTTTCCTGAACATGCGGGAGGCCCTTGTTTGGCGTTCTGGCATTCAACTGCTCTCTCAAGCATGCTTAAGAGCTCTTTACTACAGTGGCCTTAACCTGTCTCTCGCTCTCTCTCTGTCTATAGATGCATGTATTCAGCTATGTATTTGCGCTGTACAACACTAATTAGCCCTAAGACTCCATGCGCCCTTTTAGTAGGTACTTCGGCCTGAAAGGGGTCCCTGTATGGGTACTTTAAGGCCTCAGTACCTACTACCTGGGTACATGGAGCCTTTGGGTATGAGAGTGCCTGATCCAGCGTCGAGCTAATCCATCGCAACGACGGCTTGTGGCAGGCACCTCGGCTCGAGCTCATCTTAATTTCAAACCCTAAGGCCTACACTCGAAAATGCTAAGCCTTCAATCCTGAACTCTAACCCTAAACCCTGAGCCCGAAAGCCCCCCCCCCTAAACCCCAAACCCAACCCCAAACCCTAATCCCTAGCTTCAGATCCCAGGCGCTCGGGACAGAGAACTAGAGTCTATCGGTCTGGGGCTACGAAATTCGATTTGGTAATTACGTGTGTTTATTTCTACAACCGTACCTAAATGCCTACCTGCCTACCCACCCACCTACACATGTACATGCATATACACATACAATAAATATACATATACATACACATATACATATGCAATATACACATACGTGTATGATGTTTAACCGAGACTTCCTGGCGAAGGTACTTGCCGGTCAGTCCGTATGGTCACAACCCGGTTGTGGTTCACTTTGACCCGTGCATCTCCAAACGCCATCAGCCGAGATATGACTAACATGTGTCAGGCCCCCCGAGTCAGGAATTAAGAGTTAGGCTTAGGGTTTAGAGTAATCCTCTACGATGCAGGCCGACTCTCCTCAAACCCTGAGCACTGAGTTTCAGGCCGCAGGCTTTTCGCCAGACATGCAGCAAGATCTGATCTTTCTCGGAACTCAGCCCTGATCCCTAAGCCCGTAAAGCCTAACACCAAAGGTGCCCAACGACGGCACCTCAACATCCAGCAGCCCTTCTGCGATGGTGCGCCGAGCCTTTGGCCAAAGCTTCTGAGGATAACCCTAGGGGTCCAAGGGTTTAGGGTTTAGGGTTAGGGTACCTAAGGCTCGGGCTTTATTTTGGTTTGTGTAAGCATTCTGGTGTAGGATTAACTATGCATTAGGTCTTATAGGGCCTGAGAGTGATTATTATTTTGGCTTCGGATGCATGTTCAGGGAAACATATGTTTGCGAGGCACACTGACCCCGAACACGGGGCTCAGGCATTTAGGGCGCAGTGCAGTGTTCGAGGTTTGGTGGGGTTTGAAACTCCAAGCCTAGACCCCAAAACCCCCACGTTTGGGATTGCATGCTTGAGGTTTGGCGCTTTGGGCTGAGGAATTACTATCAACTTGGACAAAAAATCGGCTTCACTACTGCCATGAGTCTATACTGTTGCTGTCGTTTAGGATTTAGGCTGTGGGGGTTTGCGGGTTTCGGAGTTTAGGGAAAAGGGTAAGCTAAACCCTGAAAACCTAAACTCTTTAGGTTTTACGCATTAGGGATCCTCATGCTTTTGAACTCCTAACTCCTACTTTGACCTGACGAGTAAAAGGTTGTGGGTTGGAGGGTCTAGGGCTTGGGGAGAGTGGATTTAGGGTTTAACTGACAAAAAAGTATGTAAGATGCAGCAACATAACATGCTAAACTCTATTCTCCACCTGTCAAGCTTTTCGGCTAAGGCTTGCAGGCACGAGGATATATGATAGAAGGTCGACTGGAAGGGCATACTTGGAGGTTCAGGAGTAGTTAAAGGAAGGGTATAAGTAGGATATATAATACAGTTACAGGCTATATTTGGGGATTTAAAACACCACTTACAACTACCTATAAAGCTCCAAATAGCTACCCGCATCCGGTAATTCGTCCACGTGGACTTGGCCACCAGTAGCACAAGCAGTATGTAGCGGTAGCAGTCGCAGTTGCAGGCCAGTAGTAGTAGTCGTCGTCGTCGTAGAAGTAGTGGTAGAAGTGGCAGTCGTAGAAGAAGCAGAAGCAGTAGAAGCAGCAGCAGTAATAGTCGCACTAGTGGAGAAAAAAAGCCTGAAACGTCCTTTCAGCGGACTGTCAACTCTGTGGCCCTTTGAAGCAGCCAGGCCAGGAAACTGTCAGACCAAACCTACTTACTCCCCAAAAACCACAGTGCTTCAAAGGTCCAGACTTTCAGAAGAAGACTACCTCATAAGAGCCCAAAAGTTGAAAAGGTGGTTTTCGACCAATAAGAAACCTTCAATCCCAGTAAGTAGATAATAATTACACTTTTAAGTACCATAACCCCAATTAGGATCCCTTTTGGGGTACTTCAAAACCCAATAAGCCTATCCTTGTAGATGCCTGCAAACAGACAAGAGGGCCTCAAGGTCTAGCCTCCAACTCCCGCTCTTCGGGTGCAGGGTGTTGTTGAAGCTGAAGGGTTTAGGGTTCCGTTCAAGGCTTACTATAAGGGTGGTTGTCAATATTAAGGTCCCTTTTTGGGTCCTTGTTATAGTACGGCACCTAAGATTTAGGGTACCCAAGAAGTGACCATGATAATGACAACCACCCATAAGGGTACCTTAAAGGGCTCTGTAAGGGTTTAGGCCGGTTTATGGGGTTGAGAATTTGGGGGATTTCGATCGCATGCACCGGCAACCGCTTTTGTCAAGCTATGTGGGCACCATGCACGCCACAGGGATGAACACGGCAGCGCATGCGACGTGGATGCACCCGGTCCTAGCATTGTCGCTGTGGCGACAAATGAGCATCGAAAGACAAGTTTCTAGAGAATCTTGCCCCCAGGCCATAGACACAGACATATGTATATATATATATACCTACATACATATATATATATATATATATATATATATATATATGTAAATACAGAGTTATATGCACATGTATACATGTATACAGAGAAGGTGAAAGAGAGGGAGAGCGAGAGAGAGAGAGAGAGAGAGAGTCACTTCGGACCTGGCAAACCCTAGTCACTAGCCCCCCCCGGAACCCCCACCCCGCATCCAAACCTACACCCCGGAACCCGAATCGCAAATCCTTAGGTCCTAAAGCGAATCCTCACCAAAACCACAACAAACCTTCTTAGTCAGCTGTTAGAACCACAGACTGCAAAAGAATACTGTAAACCTCAAACTATACTAAAGAACAACAACACCAATAACACCCTGTAAGCACCAAATACAGGCCACGTGGAAACCCTTACGCCAACAACTTCCAACCGAGGATCGCAAGGAAGCTCGCCCGGTAGTCGCCGGTGCGATCGGCAAGGACGCCTCCGATCCAAGCTCCAGCGCCGTTCGTTGCCGACTTGAAAGATGTGATGGCCTTAGAAACTTTCCTTGTTCTTGTTGTTGGGCTTTGGGGCGTAGGACTTGCACAAACTTTCATAAATGGCCTTTCAGGTTGTTCTTGGTTGCGGAATCGGTCAGAAGTCTATGATTCATTGGTTCGGGGTTTGGGGCTCAATGAAACATTGGCTGATGTGGTATAAGTGACGGCTTACGGGTGCATCCTACATGCTCTGGCAAACATTGCTGCACTCGGTGTGGAGAGCCGTCGTCAGCCCGGAGCTAGATGTGCTCTAGGGAGCCTGTATCAGCAGAAAAACAGAAACACCCGCCCAAAAAAAACTAATGCATGCCGTGCAAGGTGCAGTCCAACGGCCGCGATGCTCGGGCAACACCGACTCGAAAATGATGGATTGCACACAGGGGACGTTTGCTCTGCTCATTGTTGTTCGCAGCACGAACAGGAGAGCAGCCAGCCAGACTTGGTGTGCACATGCCACACCTGACATCGGGCCTTAATGATAATAACAGGCTTTTTTGGGGTGTGTTATTTGCAGGGTCGGGGGACTGTATGTATGTAGCAAGCAGAGATTCTACTAACCTAAAATGGATCCCATATCTGAGGTTATGATATGTATAACTCTCACAAAGTAACTGCGAAGTCCCCCGACCCTCCGAGTATAGCAATCAACATAGAGAACGTATTACTATTAACATTTGTCCTGATAATAAGCAATATAGCAGTTGTAATTATTTAAGCCCCGGTGTGCACCTATCATGAGAATCCCACCACTTGATATGAAGAGCACAGCTGCCCATGCGCGTCCCAACTTTGACGCAATTTTCGGCGTGGCAAGGTTCAGCGCCGCCAGGGAGATGTTTTCAGCAAAGCGCAGCGCCATGAGCCATGAAGGACTGAGACCGAAGTCTTGTCGGAAAAAGAGGGGGACATACCTCAAGCTCACGGATGCAGCTATCTGTGTTAGGGCCCACATGATATCGGTCCATATGGGAATCAGCCACCTCTTCCGCACTCCACAGGCTTTGCCCTGCGTCCAGTCAGGCAGGGCTGATGCTTCGGTCGACTCAGCAGCCAGGCGCATGTCCAAAGACGGGTTTCGAAGGAAGAATATCACGGGCTCGACCAGCACAGATCCTTGTTGTCTCTGCTTGCTTATGCAACTTACTTCTCAAAACCCCAGGGCTGAAAAGTTCAAACTTTCAGAATAAGACTACCTCATAAGAGGCTGAAAAGTTGGGTTTTGGACCAATAAGGCAAAACGTGCCCGCCCTTGGCCGCTCATGATGTGGACGTGTTCTCTATACTTTTTCGAAACAACCTGGAAGTTCAAGCCGGCATAGCAAACTTGGCTTAAAACATGAGGGTGGTTATCAAAATTATGGTCCCTTTTTGGGTACCCTAAATATTAGGTGCCGTATTATAATAAGGACCCAAAAAGGGACCCTAATTTTGACAGCCACCCATCAGGAACAAAACGGGCTGTGCTTGGATTCCGGTCCACAGCACCCGGCTTTCATACCCTGCAAGAATAAGACTATTGCCAAAAAGGATTCGTAAAGAACTACTGTCCGTACTTAAAGGATCATGGGACTTAGTAACTAGGATTGTAATGAGGGTAACTATACTTATAATTACGTATAACCCCAATTAGGGTACTTATAACCCTACCTACTAAGTCCCATGATCCTCCAAAGCCGTGAAACAAGATTCCCTCGTACCCCCCGTTACTTCAACAAAGTACCCTTTTCGCTGTGGCTGATTTCGTTGCTCGATGCCATGGGGATGCCCTGAATTACTAGGAGGCACGTCAAGTAGGGTTTAGGGTTTAGGGTTTGAGACGAGGAGCCCAACAAGCCCACACACACCACAGTTTCAACCAGGCTCATGGACCATGCGCCATGCTCGCTGACCAGAGTGACCAATGTAAGGGCCACCAGAGGCCCTAGGGCAGTGCCCAACCATGTCACCATCTCCTCGTCGTGTCTGGATGTTGAGGAAACTGCTTTTGTGAGCTTGGGGCTTTGGGATTGACGCCTGTATACGGCTCTCTAGGATATCCTCCATGCAGACTTCATCGAGGTTCTGTACAGTATGCAGACCCGCGGCGGGGTTTCTATAGCTACAGGCAAATTCCTGCATCTTCCGTAATGAGGAATACTTGGAGGGTCGTGGGACTTACTAAGCAGGTAGCAAGTAAACCAAAAAGTGGAACAAACAGTCCATTGATATAGGTTCTGTTATTGCTGGCAAGACTGTTGCTCAAGCGAGCTTACACAGCTTAAAAAACCGTGGTGGTGCGCCCCCGCTGTTACAAAGAGAATGCCTGTATGATGGGTTCTGGAAGTTTTTACCTCTTTGAGGCAACAAATTTGCACGGCTTAAGAAAACAGCGGCAGGGGTTGGGGTTGGGGGGGGTCGCAGCCCCGCCCCAATTCTGCAAACAGTGTCTGTATCACGAATTCTGAAAGACCATTGATACATGCTTTGGCAGGACAGTTGTTTAAGCGAGCTTGCACATGGAAAACGCTGGGGGATTAGAGTGGGGCGGCACCCCGCATACTACAAGCAGAATGTCAATACGATGTATTCTGCAAAACATCTATAGTTTTGGTGAAACAAAGTTTGCACGGCGCACCCCGCCCGCCCATTTCCAAACACACTGTCTGTATCCCGGGTCCTGAAAGAGTCCATACAGGTTCTGTTGTTGCTGGCAGGACAGTTGCTGAAGCGAGCTCGCACAGCATGAAAACAGGAGGGGGGGGTTAGCCGTGGGCGGAGCCCCTCCATGTTACAAACGGAATGCCTGTATGATGGATTCTGGAAAATTCTTGTTTTCACGAGTTGCACGGCTTAAAAGGAAGGCGGCGGGGGGGCCCTCACTTGCAAACACAATGGCTGTATCACGAATTCTGAAACAGTCCATTGATACAGGCTGGCATCAACACGGTTGCTTAGGCGAGCTTACACAGCTTAAAAAGCGGAAGCAGCGGTGCCCCCCCTGCAATGGATTCTGGAAAAAAACCTACCCCTTTGATGGAAGACAGTTTGCACGGCTGAAGAAGAAAATGGGGGGTTGGCCCCCCCCTCCCCAACACCACTGTCTTTTTAAGCCGTTCAAAATTGTTTGAAGAAAGAAGGTCGAATTCGTTCTTTCTTTCTTTCGTTCTTTCTCTCTTCTTCCTGTTCCTGTTTCCGTTCTTTGGGGTTCCCTCTCGAACCGTGTGTCTTTCTTTCTTGATTGCTTGCTTGTTTCTTTGGTTTTTAGCTCGATATTTATTTCTGCCTTTCTTTTTTCTATCTTTATGTCGTTTGTTGCTTTATTCATTTACATATTGCATTCTTTATTTTTTCACTTTTTACATTTGTTTCGTTTCGTTTCTTTCTTTCGTTATTTGTTTATTGATTTCATTCTCTCTCTCTTTCTCTCTCTCTGTGTCTCTTTTTATTTATACAACTCTTTCTTTCTTTCTTCCTGGGATCTCTTCTTTCTGGTTTCCCCGCCGAGCTGTATGTCTCTCAAGGAAGCCAAGAAGCCATAGAAACCGGGACGCCGTTACGAAGCCACGACACCGCAAAAAAAAAGCAAGTACAAGTCGAGAGGTTGATGACAGGAAGCCGCGAGGCCAAAAGCCAGGAAACCGTAAGAGCCGAAACCCCAAGCACGCAAACCACACAACAAAAATACCCACTTCCATTCATGTTTTACACCTCCCTCACCTCCCTTTAAAGACTCTGAAGGAAGGGATCCTAACTGGGGTTATGATCACCCGTGTCCTTTTAGAAATAATACACAGAGCCCTATACCTATACCCCTTAGTAGGAATCATTTAAGAAGGTCTACTGGCCGGTCTGTTTATTCTTTTGGGGGAACCATGAAAAAAGGACAAGGCTGGTTATGATACTTATAACTTCTGTGGGTCAATAACATAACTACTTACTATGTCTATCGACCCTCCAAGCCTTCGAAAATGATCCGACTAGCTGACGAACCCTAGACGAGGGCTCCAGGCATATGGGTGCTTGTCAAAATTAGGGTCCCTTTTTGGGTCCCTATTATTATTATTGTTATTATTATTGTTGTTATTATTTTTGTTATTATTATTGTTATTAGTATTATTATTATTGTTATTTTTATTTTTTGATTATCATTATTGTGATGCGGCACCTATTTTTTAGGATACCCAAAAGGGACCCTAATTTTGACAACCACGCAGATGCAGGATTCTATCCATCCCTATTTGGCACGGGCCCAAGAAGAGGACGTTATCAGACAGATTTTCATGTGGTTTCCCCAAAAATCCAAGTACCTAAAAATCATATACTCTCCCAAATATGAACCTACATAACTACTATCCTAAACCCAGCTACCTCATTATTGGGTCGTGTTTGGACCTTTTGGGTTTGGCTACTGTAACCATGTTTCCAGGACATACAGGACTTTCCACAAAGCCGCAGAGAGGCAGCTCCGCATTCTATGATCTCCCATGCTTGGAGGTTAATGAACAGTTTCTGAAAAAGGTCATAGGCAGAAAACTATAAGTAATTATATCCCAAGCCCCTGAACCCTATAAACCCCTGAAACCTAAACCCAAAAACCCTTAAACCCCAAGTACTCACATGCCTTTTGACGGCACTTCCCCTTAACCTCCCCCCCCCCCTAACCCCGAGGGCCTTGCGGCTCAAAATTCGTGTTCGCTCCGTTGGGGACGTGTTGTCAACTAGGAAAACCTGGAGCACCTCGAGAGGGTTTAGGGGTTTAGGGTTTAGGGTTCAGGGGTTCAGGGGTTTTAGGGGTTTTAGGGGTTTAGGGGTTTCGGATTTAGGGTTTAGGGTTTAGGGGTTTAGGGTTTAGGGGTTTAGGGTTTAGGGCTTAGGGGTTTAGGGGTTTGGGGTTTAGGGTTTGGGGTTTAGGGTTTAGGGTTTGGGATAATGTAGGAAGACTTGCATAGTGTAGCTTCCAATCAAGGGATCTATATTGGTACTATAAGGGATCTATAAGGATTATTGCAAGGGTACTATAAGGGTTCTATAAGGGTAATGTAGGAACCTGATTAAGAAACCCATGGCCTAAATTAGGATTCCTTAAAGGAAAGCCTACTATTTGGGGTTATAGGTTCAGGGTTCTTAATTCTTAATCAGGCTCCTACATTAACTGAGGAAGGACCTCAGGACCTACGGCGGGGTTCAGGGCCTAGAATCAAACTGAAACATGCTCAGCAAGGACCTTTGGACCTACAGTGGGGTTCAATGATGGGAGGCCAAAACGGGGGTTGAAGATTCTTGGGGTAGGGGTTCCTTAATATGAACCCTATTATGGGAACCCTGATCCCTACTAAACCCCCATAGGCTAAACCCCCTTTTTGGCCTCCTATGATAAACCCTAAACCCCTTAACCTTAAACCCAAACCCCTAAACACCTAAACCCTAAACCCTAAATCATATACTCTAGGCTCAGAACTCAGTTGGAAGGTGGACGGCAACATGTTTGAGGGTCTGTGTCGAGTTGCATCGTCTTTTCCCCAAGGGTCTTAGGTACCCAAACAGCCCAATACCCCTTGATTAAGGAATATGGCTTAAATTATATAGGGCTTCATACTATGGTTTAAGCTATATTCCTTAATTAAGGGGTATTGGGCTCTCTGGGTACTGCTATGGGGGTGACGATCCCAAATCGTAATAATGACTCCTAACATAGAAACCCTACACTTCGGACACTTTGGGTTTGGCTCTTCTCGGGGTCATGCGGCGAAACAAGCCACATCACATTTTAAGGGTTTGCAAAATCCCAAACCCATGATCACGAAACCAAAGTCAAATCCCAACCATTGCCCTTTATAGAGCCTTTTTGGTCTGAAAAGTGGGTACTTGGGTAGAAGGGACCGTAGTGCGGGGGGTTCTAAACCCTAAACTCCCAAACCTATACCCTGCCTTAACCCTGAATAACCTAGCTTTTTAGGGCTCCTCATTATGATTTCATTATATGAGTCCTTAGGTTATTTGGGGTTCAGGTGGATCCTGTGCGCGCCTCAGGGTGCAAGTACTCTCTGGATCATCGGACTTTGGGGCCGGTTTGGGTACCGCGAACAAAAAAAGGACTACTAACCAGAGGCTCCATAGTAGTTCCTTTTTGGGATTACCTTATAGGATTCTATATATGAACCCGAAAAAGGAACTACTTTGGAGCCTTAGGCTAACTAGACCCAAGAGTAACCCAGCCATAAAAAGCATGCCCTTTGGGGCTAAGAAGGGAACCTGAACCCTAAAAAAGGGAATAAGGGCCTACTCTGGGTCCTAGCTAAAGTAGTGGGTCCTTTTACACTACCATTTATGGAATTATGGGCCTTATGGGTCCCCAAAGCCATCTTAAAGATGGTCTTTTGGGACCTAATTCCATAGTGGTAATGTATAGCGACCCTCTGGGCTAAAGTAGTGGGTCCTTTTTAACCCCTTATGCCGTACCTTACAGTGGTGGAGTTCAAAAGGGGAAGGATGTTAAAGTAAAGGCTAGCTGTTTGCCATTTTGTACGTTGTATACTACCCTCGCAAAGACAAACCCTTGAATCCCGATCAGAGGCAAAAGCCCTAAACCCTAAACCCTAAAAGCAAACCCACAAACCACCAAGATTCAAGTTTAGTTCCCCGACTTGACATGATCCCAATCGAGCCTGGTCCTGAGGATTGTTCACCTGAACAGCGCAGTCTCTCAAAAGGATTTAGGTTTTAGGGTTTAGGTTCAGGGTTTAGGGTTTGAAACTATCTACAGGTGCTACAGGAACGGTGGAGGAAGGAACTTTTTAAGAACTATTCTACGGGCTTATTATGGGAGTTTCCGAAAATAGGGGACCCCAATATGGCACCCCAAATCTTAGGATCCCTTCTTTAAGGAACTCAAAATTAAGTACCCTTAGATTTCGGAAACTCCCATATAGGGACTTCTATAGGGGTCGCCGCTCCCACCCCCTACGTTGATTTAGTAGATCCCTGCTGGCTTTAAGCGCTAACCTTATAGTATAAAGGGACCCTTCAAGAAGGCCTTGGTATATCAAAGCAGAACGACAGCTCTGGGCATCCGATAGCATAAGTAGTAGGTTATCGAACTTCGCCCTGTTAGGGTTTAGGGTTTAAGGTTGTTGTCAAAGGGTGAAGTACTGCAAGACGCTGAATCATGCGTCATGAAAAAGGTGAACATAGAGTAGAAACCATGGATCTCTTACTTGGAGGGTCGGGGGACTTAGTAAGTAGGTAATAAGTAGAGTTGTAAGTACCAGAAAAGGGATCCTAATTGGGGTTATGGTACTCATAAGTCTCTAACATAACTAGTTACTAAGTCCCCCGACCCTCCAAGTAGTCGGTATGTCACCAGTTTGAAGCATGTACCTTGCACTATCTTTAGGTGTTCATCATATAAAGCATATACCTTGCACTATCTGTAGGTGTCCATCATATGGTTTCAGGAGCGTAAGGTACAGCGCACAAGTAGGGGACTTTCTTTTGCGTTCCCTCTGCGTAAACGCCACTACACTAACACCGATTTGGCTCGGCTGTTAACACCTAGATCAAAATGCAGGCGCCTGGATACCGAATGCGACCATGAAGACACCACCCAGAATGGTAGCCCATCTGAAACACCGGTTCCACAGAATAATGAAAAGCGTCAGACCTTTAGACCACCTTAAGCCTGAACCTAAACCTTGCTGAGGCTCATAGGAAAATCCCATCAAAGGTTGTGAACTTCTCGGTGCTGGGCAACCGGGTGGCGATCACTTCAAGGGTGGAGCGGCGATGTGGAGTGATGAGAGTAGTGCCAGTACGCAGATACTTTCTATGGGGACCCAGCGTAGCTATAGAAGTGCATTCCCGCATCAGAACGAATTCGGTCGCAGCTCGTCTACAGCGCTTTGATTAGGGCCAAGCCCGAAATTCTTAAACAACATAAGCAACCCTAAACCCCAAGAGCCCGAAACCCAAAACTCCAAAGCCCAAAGTCCAAAAACCCTACCACCCTGTACAAGCCGTACCTGTTGTGGCCCAAAAGACCTACCTTTTGAAGGAAATATGTATAGAAACCATGATAAGGAACCCTAAAAAGGAAGGTCTTTTCAGACATAGGTTAACTAACACCGAGAGCCTGTCAGAACCTCTCATCCACGCGAGTACCCCCCAAGAGGGGTTTAGGGTTTTAGGGTTCAGGGGTTTAGGGGTTTGCGGCTTAGGGTTTAGGATCCCCCTTAAAGGGCCCTTTCATGGAGTCCTTACGGCCCTGGATGTTCTGCATATTAGAGGGTAGTTGGGGCCCTGTAACCTCCTGATACAGTCATAACAGGACTAGAGCTAGTGACTAGGGTCTTGTGGTACATTGCAACGTATATTCTAAACAAACCATGATCTCAGGGGGGTGCCATCCCAAACTATTCCGGTCTAAACCAGAATCCCTCACTACTAAATCTTAACCCTCAGTCCAAAACCCCTGCACCCTAAACCATAAACCCGCAGCCAACGCCCACAAAATTTCAGCACAAGCGCCAGCACCAAGAGAACCAACGAGCTCCAAAGCAGTCTCAGGCTCCGGGAATACACCGCCCAGAGTGTCCTTGCTTAGGGTTTACAGTTTCGGCATGAGGATTCAGGATCTCAGGTCCGAAGGGGTTTGGGTTTGTGTCGGGGTATAGGATTTAAGAGGCTTCGGATTTCCGGTTTGTGGCTTGGGTTTGCGGATTTTGGCTTGTGGAGACTTATGGTTGAGAGTTTGAGGTTACTGGCTTTGGGGAGAGTACACCGCCCAGAAGGTCCTGGAGGTATGTGGAGGATCCAGAAATCGCTCTGTAGGGAACAATATAAAAACCTCGAGGTAAGCGGACAACAGGGTTTGCAAAGAAGTTTGTACGGTTTAGAGATCAAGGTTTCGGGGTGTTCGAGCTGGGTTTATGCTGCTATCAGCCACATAGCTTGCCTAAGGGTCCAAGTACCTGACAATCGTATACAGGGCCTTAAAAAGCACATAAGCAAAAATAAGGATAGGGATATCTCATATAAACCTCCTCTAATGAAGGCCAATAAGGTAGGGATATCCCTATAAAATGCTTATGCTCATGTCCTTTTTGGGGTCCCCAACTTCAAACCATAAACCTTGCTTCTCAAAAACCCCAGGGCTTAAAGGTTCAAATTTTCAAAATAAGACCACCTCATAAGAGCCCAAACGTTGAAAAGTTGGGTTTTCGACCAATAAGAAGCCTTCAACTCCCATAACCCCAATTAGGATCTCTTTCGGCCTACTCACAAGTCTACTTTTCACCTATCTACTAAGTCCCCCGACCCTCCAAGTAAACCCTAATCATCCTAATCATTTTCAACCCCCCTAAACCCTAAACCTTCAACCCTAAAAGCTTTTTGATCCTTTGCGAAACTTAGGGCTTCCCTTCAACAGCCGAAATCGCAGGGCCGGGATGCATAGAAGGGCCAAGGGAGGGTTTAGGGTTTAGTCCAAGAGTAAAAGGAGGGACCCTTAATAACAACCCCTAGGTATATACCCTTAATATAGCCATTATAAACCCATTACATAGCCCATTATAGGGTAGGGATCCCCGTTAAGGGTCCCTCCTTTTCCCCTTTGATGTAGGGTTTAGGGTTGAGGATCATAGGGGCCCTTAGGGGGGTAGGGGGGAGGGGGGTAGGGGACTGTACTTCCTGAAAAAAAGCCAACTAAAGTCCTTATTGTAGCTATTGCGGCCCCGTACCCCCTCCCCCCTACCCCCAAAGGGTCCTTATGGCTCAAGCAAAGTTAAGAGATTAGGTTTATGTGTTTAGGGTTTCTTTAGGGTCTAGGGCTTAGGGTTTAGGTCAGAGAGCAGGGTTCAGGATTAGGGTGTGCAGTAGCTTGTTGAATTTGTACTTAGAGGGTCGGAGGACTTAGTAACTAGTTATTTTAGAGACTTATAAGTACCATAACCCCAATTAGGATCCCTTTTAGGGTACTTATAACTCTACTTGTTAACTACTTACAATGTCCCCCGACCCTCCAAGTAGTTTGAGGTTCAGGACGGTTCAAGGTTCGGCTTGCGAAGGTTACCGGTGGCCGACATTCTTGGTACTTGGGTACAGGATACTTGTCAACATAGTGTTGAGGGTTTAAGGTTGGCCACAAAAGGCTAGAGGTGTGTAAGTGCCCAAATGTTTCCCTAAGGGTCCATGTACCCATATAGCATGTACTTTGGGCCCAATGTACCTATATAGCGAGTACTTTAAGGCCAATGTATATGCTATATGAGTACATGGACCCTTAGGGTTTAACAAACTCCATGGCACAACAACGTGGGCAAAGTCTTCGCCGCAGCACGCCTCTCGATTCCAGGGTTAAGGATTTGAGGATCTGGGATCCCTAGCGCCGAAGCCCGGAGTATTTAGCCTAGTCCTTGGCTTGTGAAGGCCGTGAGCTCGTCCCAAATCCCTAAAGTCCGTAATCGCGTCGGTTTCGGGCTGTCGGCTTTCCGTGCTTTCCGGATTAGGATACGTAAGCATGCAGGGTGTCTTCAGGGTGTGAAGTCTGAGTTTCGGGTCCTCGGGCATTTTCGAGCACCAGCAGTCATACCGGTAAGTCGTCTCCACTGTAGTTTCGCTTTTTGGCTTAACCAACTGTATACTCTAGGACTCAACCATAAAAACGGTTAAACAAAAGGAACTACAATGAACTATATACGTTTCATAAGGAATGCATAGACCCTGAAAGGACCCCTGAAAGATAAAACGCATTGGAGATCCATTTAATCCTGGCGCAGGCATTCCAAACCTTAAATACCTCCAACTGCCCTGCAAGAGGTCATTAACTTCAGGCACTTGTGAAGTAAGTATGAAAGTTTAGGGTCCTAAACGGCCTGAAACTCTCAACTTTGGAGAAACTTTGAGGGGTTTGTGCTGGGCCTCCGCAGTTGGGGCCGAAACCGACGGTTTTGCAGAGGGTGCTGGGATGCACATGTTTTTCTCGCAGGGGCAAGAAGGACAGGGCTTAGGATTCAAGACAGGGAGGATGGGGTAGGGGAAGGGTAGAGTTTGGGGGTGTTTGGAATCGGTGTCTCTCCTGTTGCGGTGTCTTAGGATGCTTTCACGCCAAGTCCATGTTCAATTTAAGCAGCTCCTCGCCCTGCCCTCGCACAAACATATATTTCTTTCTGTCCCTCTCGCTGCCTCTCCTTCTCTGTTTCTCTCTCTCTCTCTCTTGGGTTTTTCTTTTCTCTCTCTCTCTCTCTCTCTCTGTCTCTGTCTCTGTATCTCTCTCTTTCTCTCTCTCTCTCTCTCTCTCTCTCTCTCTCTCTCTCTCTCTCTCTCTCTCTCTCTCTCGCTCTCTCTCAGACACGCTCACCTTAAGCCTCAACAGTCTCCGAACAAATTCTCCACCGAGGTCTGCCTTTAGGTCCAAAACCCCAAGACTACGGGTCCTTAACATTAGGGTTTAGGGTTTATAGGGTTTAGGGTTTAGGGCTGTAACCGTACAACATCATAGGTTGTAACCCCTCAGTTAATTAGAGGCTTATACATAAGCCCCAAAGTAATAGGCATTTTCAAGCAGTTGTGAACCCTAAACTCTCAACCTGTGCAAAGCCGTCATAATGACCGCTTTAGAGCCCCTGATATCACTGCCCGCCACCCCCCACCCTGGCCCCCGTCAAAAATACAAACAGCAACAGCAACAACGACCCGGCCCACGGAGGAGCTGGCGCCGAGGAAAGCGGTCCGTCAGCACGCCGCAGGGCAACATCACCTTGGGGTTCAGGGCTCAGGGCCGGACCTACAGTAGAAGCCAGAAAGTTGGAACATCGGTTTAGAAGGATTAATGCTAGGATCCCGTATCTTATACCTTAAGGGCATGAGGATACTAGTGTTCCAACTTTCTGGCTTCTATTCTACCATAGCTGCTCATAGGTTTGCATTGGAGAGTTTTTGTCAGGCCCCCGGCGAAGGATTTGTTGGATGGTTCGGGTGCCTTTTGGGCCAAATGCAAGTTCTTCCTTGAAGGCCCAAGCACCTGCAAAAGTATATACTTTGGCCGTATGACTGTGTTTTGAATATAGGAGCCCCTAGTGAAAACAGAACCGATCGGAGTGAAGGCTTTGGGATACGTCAGCGTGGCTGACAGAAACAAGAAGTTGCCGGGTTCCAGTCTGGTTCAAGCAGCCGGAGCTTCGAGCTTGCCCTTAGGGTTGGACTTGGTGCCTTGGGGGCTCGGCAACCTGGTACTCGTAAACTTAAAGATACACGTGTTAGAAGGCACGACAATCATGAGAACTTTTGCCTTATGTAGTTCAACGTGTAGGTTGTCGCCCTCTGCGCCAAAATCGGAACGACTTAAAACATCTACACCTTGAAAAACTTCAAGGCTTCGGGCCTTGTGTTTGAGCCTTGCACTGACACTAAACCCTCACCGCCTTTCGCGAAAATCCAAAGATCTGATGTTGTTCTGTTGGGAGACTGAAAACCTTCACATGTAATCAATCAACCCCTGGCGAAACAAAGGATAAGATTGAAAGCATCAGCACCTCTTCGCACAAACTAGGAACAAACTGCTTGTCAGGGCCCGCAGTCTTTGTACCTGGGGGTAAACGTTGTCGGGGCCCGCAACCAGGTTAACAGGCGTAGCACACAGGACTTTACAATCGTAACCGTCGTAACCATTGCCTGTTTAGGAGCCTGCTTCCAAACATGCACGAAGTCTCATGCCCGAATCAATCCCTATAGTATAAAGCCCCCCGTATGTAGCAAACTCACAGGTGGACTCGTGTGAAAAAGGTGTTCTGAGCCCGTAGTCCTTGGGTGTTTCAATTGGAACCACACGTAACCCTTCAGCCTTAAGCTGCAGGGCACTGCTAGAGCCGCGAGGCCGCAGGTAGATTCCACCAACCCCACCGTCTCGTTGGAGCCGGACAAATCCTTCCAGCACTTGAGGGAGTATGACCGCAGAGTGTATGGTTTCGGGTTTCGGAGGTTTGAGGTTTGCAGCCCAAGGTTTTCATTGTGCAGGCGTGTCGAGTGTGTCCCGAAGCCCAGGTATTGAATCTTGTATTGCATATCAAACCTTTAAATGGGTCACGATGACGCGAGTGGCCGGTATATCTGGCTTATCCTACATGGCGATTCTTGGCGACTGTGGGCAATGGGCACGGTATGGCACGGCTATGTGTCAAACAATCCTGATCGCCTTGCATTATGCGTCGCCATAACGACGGGGAAATAAGCGGCCCCAGAAGCTGCTGCGGTGATGTTCCATGAGCATAAAGCAAGAACTATCAAGAACTTCTAGGGCAATGTCTTTAGGCAGCCGTCACTCCCAATAGCACAGGATCCTGATACCAAGGGTGGCTGCAAACGGCTTCGGAGATGATGCAATATGCAAGACCGTGCTTGATGTTGAAAACCCATCGCGGCATGTCGACCGTGAGTTGCTTGAATACATCCTGAGCTGTCGGCAATCAGTGACTGTGTGAGAGGTTGTTGTGTTCCTAAATCCAGCGTTTGCAGCCGTTTGGAGCCTCGGCTGCAATCCAGTCGTGTCGTGAGGGGCTGGGTGCAATGCGAAGCGCATATCCCACCAATCAATCCCAGGGTCCGCGTACCCCATTGGCATCCCATGCTTTGTCCCGGAAGGGGTTGTAGTTTTTGTGGCGCTAGGGCCGAAATATCTACTTTAGAAACCCCTGATCAACCCTAAACCCTAAACCAATCCTGAAACCAAAACCCTGGCGCAACCCTAGACCCTCCACCTTGCACTTCTCCACCTTGTACGGACAAAACAGAAAACGTACCGAGGAAACCTTTCCAAAACCGGCACAAAGTGCCAACCCAAACTCAACCGGCGATTTACAAAGACCGTAAACTAAACCCTAAACTCTAAACCCTAATGGGATTTACCAGGTAAGTCCACGAACTACCCGACTGGGTGCTGTATACAATTACTGCCATGTTTATCTTTAACAGTGATTGTGTTTGAGTACGAAGGCCGGAAGAACCACTACTAGCACCACTACTACTACTACTACTACTACTACTACTACTACTACTACTACTACTACTACACTACTACTACTAGTACTACTAGTACTACTAGTACTACTAGTACTACTAGTACTACTAGTACTACTAGTACTACTAGTACTACTACTACTACTACTACTACTACTACTACTACTACTACTACTACTACTACTACTACTACTACTACTAGGCCTACTACTACTACTACTACTACTACTACTGCTGCTACTAGGCCTACTACTACTACTACTACTACTACTATTATTACTACTACTACTACTACTACTACCGCTACTACTGCTACTACTACGACTACGACTACGACTACGACTACTACGACTACTACGACTACGACTACTAACTACTACCACCGCTACCACCCCCACCAGCACCACTACCACTACCACTACCACTACCACTTACCCCTACCGCTACCGCTACCGCTACCGCTACGGCTACGGCTACTGTTACTGCTAATACTACTACTACTACTACTACTACTACTACTACTACTACTACTACTACTACTACTACCGCTACTACTGCTACTACTACGACTACGACTACGACTACGACTATGACTACTACGACTACTACGACTGAGACTACGACTACTACGACTACTACGACTACGACTACTAACTACTGCCACCGCTACCACCCCCACCGGCACCACTACCACTACCACTTACCCCTACCGCTACCGCTACGGCTACGGCTACTGCTACTAATACTACTACTACTGCGACGACGACTACTACTACTACGACGACTACTACTACTATTACTACTACTACTTCTACTACTACTTCTGCTACACCACCACCACGACTACGACGACTACTACTACAACGACTACTGTTGCTACTACTCCTGCTATTTCCACCACCACGACCAGGACGACGATTACCACTACTCCGGCTACTACGACTACGACGACTGCTACTACTGCTAAAGTTGCTAAAGTTTCTGTGGCCCCGGCCCCGAGCTCCCAGTCAGAAGGCATAGGGCCGCTATGGCTAACCCCCGCAGATCAGAAGGACCAAACCCTAAACCCTAAACCCAACACCCAAAACCCTAAACCCTAAAGGGCTGACATGATGTGTTGGGAGCCCCAAAGTTTCTCAGATGCGGGGGGTATCCTTCTTCAGGAGGGGTCTTGCCAGGGTTTACGGCTTAGGGTTCAGGGTTTAAGGCTCACGATTTCATAACAGGGCAGTTGACACCACTCTCCAGTGTTATACTTAGACTAGAGCAGGGATACTCTTCGTGCGCTAATGCCTCAAGCCATCATTGGCGGACCTCCAAAACGGACAACCCGAGCCCTCCCAGGGTTCAGGGCTTTCGGGTTTTATCTACACCTCAGCCTCGGTTTAGGGCTTAGGTTCAGGGCTCAACATATGCGAACTCTGAAGCCATAAGCCCTGAATCGTGCCAAAACCCGTAGTATTCAACAAACAGTGCCATGTAGGAGGTCCTGACGAACTGCGAACCCAAGACTCTGCACACTCAACCCCAGCCTCTCCATTTACCTCACAGCAGCCCCCCAAGTCAACCTTTAAGTGTGCTCTTTTGCGCTAAATCTGAATGGGGGTTTCCGAAAATTAGGGGTACCTTATTTGGGACCCTTATAACAAGGATCCTACTATTCAGGGTACTACAGTAGGATCCCCTATTTTTGGAGACTCCCATATATCTCGAGGTCCATGATGTAGATGTCCAGAAAATCTCTGGAAGCCACTGCAGACCTCTGACATGAACTTTATACCTACAGTACTTGTCGGGTATCATGGGAAACTACAGTAGAAGCCAGAAAGTTGGAATATCATTATCGTAACCCCTTTAAGGTGAATTATAGGGGATCCTACCATTAATCCATATTCCAACTTTCTGGAGTTCCCTATAAAGGTTAACCTTTTTGGTTACATTATGCAGGGACTATACTACCCAAAAAAGGTTAAAGGTTACCTACTCGACTACAAGGTATAGGGGCCTCAACGATTAGCCGAGGGTTCGGGTGCACTTTTTCAGAGAGGGCTTGGGCCTTCGGGGGTGTGCTTGGGGGTTTAGGGTTTAGGGAACGGTTGATGATATAAATCCTGCATTACCTTAAGGACCCTAAACTATGGGAATTATGGTAAATTCCTTATTGTGGGTCATGCAGGATTTATATCATCAACCGAAGTTCCGGGTTCAAGGTCTAGGGTTTAGACGGTTGGAGGCTCAGGGCTTCAAGAATTCAAGACCAGAATTGCTAATTACATAGGCCTCTTGGACCTGCAAGGTGCACCCAGGGGAAGTTGGAGGAGGGAGCGAGCCAAGCCAAAGAACCCAACATCCCGTAACTAGGAAGCATACCTTAAAGTATGTAGGGCTTCATATTTTGGGCTTGAAGGCTATCCTCTGAATTATCAATGGATGCTGGACCGTTTGGCGGAGGAATTTCATCCAAACTTCAAGGCAACCAAGGCTTGGAATCCCATGCGCGTTTGGTCCCCGGGATGCCTTTGCTGCATTCGGGGCACAAACCCTAAACCCTTAAACCCTAAACCCTTAAACCCTTAACCCTGAAACCCTAAACCCTTAAACCCTAAACCCTAAAACCCTAAACCCTTAAACCCTTAAACCCTTAAACCCTAAACCCTTAAACCCTAAACCCTAAAACCCTAAACCCTTAAACCCTTAAACCCATAAACCCTAAACCCTACGGATAGGTGAAGGGATTTTAGGCTAACAGTGTGGGGCCCAAAGCAAGCCCAAAGTCCGGCACTGTGAAGGGGCCTACGGCTCCATGCACTTACACAATAATGTAGGAACCCGATTCAGAGACCTTGTGCCCTTATTAAGGTTTAGGGTTTTTTGTTTAAGAAACCTTGTGCCTTTTTTAGGGTTCCTTATATGAATCCTAGTATTTTGGGGGTTATAGGCCCAGGGTCGTTTAATCAGGTTCCTACATTACAGAGTATGCGCTGCGGCCTTGAAGAACCCATGTGGGAACCCCTGTACGGCCCTGTTGGTACATTGAGCCCCAAAACCCTAAACTAAAGAACCCTTGTAGTAAACTCTGAAGGAACCCTTACATACAGGAGCGCTAGACACGACTGTCGGGACTCCCCAAGGGCGCAAGTGCGTCACTGACCCTGGCTGAGGCACTGCACAGCTCGCGCGAAGAACAGGTAGAGGCACAGTCTGCCAGCACGTAGCAAAGTTCAAGTTCGTACTTTTTGCGGCTCACCGGGGCTGAAAAAGAAAGTTCGAAGTGGCTCTACTAAGGCATAGCCGAGATTCAGGTGCCTGTAAACAAGCTTCACTGATTCAAGCTATCCATGAACGCTAACCCGCGTGTCGAGCAGCTGTGCTGCAGCGGCACTCCAAGGGGCTGGAGCTTTGCGGTGGAATGTCATAAGACTTATCGAGCACCACTCAGGACCGAAAGTTTCACCGGAGATTCAAAAAGAAACAATCGTGCTCGGTTCCTCTTAAAGCTTGGGGGTTTTGCTGTGTGCCATGGGGTTGTCGGAAATTGCGTTCGAGGGTTTGGGGTAACCTAGGAATGAAAGGGCCCCCTTTTCGGTATTGAGTGGTTTTGAAAGAACCCTAAGAGCACAAACAAGGGAAAAAGGGCCCACTGGGGGACCTAGTTCCTGAACGCCGTCAACAAGCAGAAGCACGCCTCTGGACGATCGCTAGATGCATCCCTAAGCCGCCTTGCACCGTAAATCCCGAACCCAGGCCTTCTAAGGCCCTGAAACCCTCACCCTGACCACATGAAGACCCCAATTCCCGTCAACCCTCCACGGTCATCTGCTTAAATGGCCAAGCCTTCAACCCGAAACCCTACGCCCGAACCCTAAACACCCCCAGACCAGGAAACCTAAAGCCCCCAAAACAGCCTAGACCCGAAACCCCCAACCCCGGAAACCCTGCATCCCACCCTACACCCTAAACCCATAATGTAGGAACCTGATTAAGGTAACACCAAAATAGTAGGATTCATATAAGGAACCCTAATAAAGGCCCAAGGTTTCTTAGTCAGGTTCCTACATTACCCTTATAGTACCCTTATAGATCCCTTACAGTAACTTATAGATCCCTTATAGTACCCTTATAGATCCGTTTGAAGGAAGCTACACTATGCAAGTCTCCCTAAACCCTAAACCCTACACCCTTAACCCTCCGTCCTCTGATTGAACTCGAAGGTCCCGCCAGACTCTTCTTCTACCAGCCCGCGGCTGTGGATTTCCATGGCCAGCTGCCATGGATGGGATTTTAGGGTGTGGGGGCTTAGTTGCTGAGTTCATAAGCCACAAACAGTGTACACTTTCAGTTGTATAGGTGTTAATATTACCTCCAAAAGTGCAAAGTGTATCCACTCAGCCACTAAGGGGGTTACCTTAACCCCAACGAGCCTACCTCTTTAGGGTTCCCTATTATGATTTCCGTATGAAAGTCCTTAAAGAGGTAGGTTACTCCGGGTTAAGGTGGGGGTTAATGTAGGGGCCTTAATAATTAAAAAGGGTTTTGGGGTACGTGATATATACTATAAATATAATAAGGAATCCAAAGATAGTAGTAATCAGTAAGCCCCTATTGGTTTCACAGTCTTGAGGGCTTAAAGTCAAGGCTCTCGGTTTGGGGTTTAGGGTTTCACTCGAAGGGGGTTCCGGGTGCACGGGCGCTTCATCGAAGGTTTCCCTTTAGGCCGTCAGTCCTGAAGCCTACACGCTGAACGTCAACACCCAAACTACGCATCCCTCAAACTCAAACCCTGTGCCCTAACTTCGGGATGTACGTCACCCTACTTTTGGGTGTCTCCGAGTTGAGGTTCGGCCTTAGTGTCAGGTGTGTAGGGTTCAGAGTTGAAGATGCAGGCTTTCAAATCTTAAGGGTTTGGTCAAGAGTTGCTGTTGCGGGGTTAAGCAGGGTAAGCGTGTGGGGTGAAGGCTGCATGAGTTGTAAGATGAGCGACATAAGACCAGAAGTCAACCAGTCAGAGGAAACAGGTATCAGACTTAGGGCTGCGGAAGTTTCATATAGACCTGAGTGCCAAACCTCTCAATGTTGTTTCCATCTTGAGCAAACGGCTGCATAAAGAGATCAGCCGCGTAAACACCCGTGCATCCCCTAATTAGCCTTGAGGACAACAAACAATTCAGGGTATCGGAGTTATGGTTTGAATATATTCACATGATACATATTATTATGGTACAATGCAGTATATTAGTTTGAACAGTATATACTATAATAACTATAATATACCTATAACATACACATCATAATACAATGATAGTATATGAAGCCTTCATCTATTGATGCCGTCCTATCAGGATGGGTGCGGCTTCTCGAGCTTGGCACTTCAGCCCAGTCTTGAGCTAACCACTGGTTTTGATCCCTGGCGGCTCCTCCAATGTCGAAGGTTTGTGAGTAATTCGTTGCACATATTACAGCAAGTTGCGCAACGAGAATATTGGGTTCAGCACTACGACTGCCACGAGGCAGTCGGCATGCCGGGCACAGTTTCTCGCGAGCATCCTTGATGGACTATGAACATGGACGTGTTTGTTACAGTTGAAGCTCAGTTAGTGTTGATTTGCCATAGAAGGATCCTCAATAGCAGGATGCGGCCACTGAGCTGCCGGGCTATGCCTGCCTTTCGTCAATCATCGGAGCGACGGTGAGACGTGTGCAATGCAATGCAATACTACTACTACTACTACTACTACTACTACTACTACTACTACTACTACTACTACTACTACTACTACTACTACTACTGATACTACTACTACTACTACTACTACTACTACTACTACTACTACTACTACTACTACTACTACTCCTACTCCTGCTGCTGCTGCTGCTACTACTACTACTACTACTACTACTACGACTACTACTACTGCTACTACTACAACTGGTACTGGTACTGCTACTGCTGCTACTACAGCCACCACTACCACTCGTACCAATACTGCCGCCGGTACTACTACTGGCAGGTTACTGGCAATGGCACTAAAAGTAACAGTAGCAGCCACACATCCTGCAAAGCCCAAACCGAAAAAATACAACTCGAAACCCCAAAGCCTCAACCACCTAAACTGTGGAGCCTAGAATCCGATGCGCTAAGCCACCAACGAATTTCAACACCTGCAGGGACTTTGGGCCCCCGGCCTTGCCGAAAAGCGTGTAGCAGTCCTCCGATTACGGCTTTGAAAATTCTCTTTCGGTGGGCCTGAGCCAAGACTCTGGACTTCCAAACGCTAGACCCTAAACCTAAAGCTCTCAACCCACAAACACGGAACCCTGAACTCTATAGAGAACATTAGCTGTCTTCTAAAGCCGAAACCCTAAACCCATAAAACAAAACCCTTAAACGAACCCTGAAAGGCACCCAAACCCTAATTTGTGTGTTTGGGTTTCCGGCCTTGGATCTTCAAGGGGACTCTTTAGGGCAAAGCTAGGACTCAGGGTGTTGAGGGTTCATATAAGGGATCTATAGGGGTTCTTTAAAGGATCCTTTTAAGGCTTGCGTGTAGGCTTCTAAAACGATTCGTCAATGGTTTAGTGTTTGGGGTTTAGCATTCAGTTTAGGGTTTCGGGTTTAGGGGTTGCGGTGAGCCGTAGTAAAGAAATGCAAAAAATAGCAGTTAAGGGTTTAGGGTCTAGGTTAGGGTTTAGGGTCAAGGGTATAGGGTTTAGGGTTCAAGGGAGGTTAGGGTCTTGCCTCTATGGTCTCAACGTGATTTGAGCAAAGCTGTTCATGACTTAGGGTGTTCAGGTTTCGAGTCTTGCCTTCTATGGTTTCAAACCACGGGTGTAAAGCTCAATAGGGTCCTTAGAGCTCTGGGCTGACTGGTGTTAGGGGATTTGGAACCCAGCATTTGAGTTTGAAGCTCGAGGTTCTCGGCTTCCTTGTGACCGAAACAGACTGCTAGTTGACACTGTCGTACCTGGCCCATAAGCAATAACTCTCATAGCTCAAATTGGGCAGGAGTGCAGAAAAGAAGGAGCCCACACATAGCAGTTGGCCTGCATATGTGTGGGCTTCACCCATGACCCTGCACTCAATTCTGCAGCCACCCATCTCGGGCAAGTCCTCCCTGTTTGCCAGCACCACAAGGAGCTCGTTGAGCTTCTCCTGAGAAGTTATGACAAACTTTTCCTTGCATTGTGATGCCGCCAGATGGAATGGAAAGCCAACAGCTTTCAGCATATGAGCCCAGGTGCCGGGATAGACTTTCACATATTGAAAAGGCATTTCACTGTTGGTGTGGAATGGCAATATAATTCCACCACAGCCTGGGCACAAGCCACCGAACATAGAATATAGTGACCTGTTGTTCCAAACCCACTTGTCCGGAGAATCTTCAACTGCAGCCACCACAGTGACACCTTTGGTCTGCAGGGCTTGAAGCGACATGACACACTCGAACTTGCCTGTGTTGTAAGTCTTAAGAAAAGTTTTGTGCAGTTTAGAGCTTTTGGAAGCGTGCCGCAAACCTACCCAAGGCTCAATTACCATACACACAACCAGGAACGATGAATCGTCCTGCAGCTTGCCATGGGTTCCCCGATCCAAAGCCATCGAGTCCCACATCTCGTCAGCTGCTGCTTGGCCGAGTGGCCGGCAGCTTCCCGCCATAGTTGCACAGGAAAAGTTTGTAGTGGGAGCCCATTCTGCTGCACTAGGCAGCCAGAGCTGTGGCAGCACACAGCCTTTCCTTTCTCCCAAGGCACATGAGGAGGGACGAAAGCGGGGTGGCCTCCAGAGCCTGCCATCGAAGCGAGGGCCGAGGCTCTGGACACCTCCCCTACGATTTGGCCACCAGTGCTTTGCAGCCTAGGGCCAAAAACTGTCGGTGGCTGGTCGCACAGCTTCCAAAGCTACAGCACGTTGTTGGGCTGTGCAACATCTTTCAGACCTGGCTAGAGCCAGAGCTTGCCCTGCCCTGGTGGATGGTGCACTTAGGATGGGGTGGCCTGTGGGCCTAGTTGCACTCAGCCATGTCCTCAGGTCTGCAGCGAATTCCCTTAACCAGTCCTCGTGCTCCGAGGTGGTCATGGACTCGAAAGCATTTGCCCTCACTCGCAAAACCCATGGCTTGGAGGCCAGTGCCAATCCGGAAATCATGTCTACTCGTTTGGGACGAGATATTGACCCTCCCAATTCCCAGATGAAAGTAAACAAGCTCAGGCAGCCAGGACTTATCTCCATTCCTGACCTTACACACACAAACACTCCCACATCCGAATCGTCGTTAGGCCGAAATTCCGGAAGGAACATGCATCGGGCTTCAGCACAACATCTTCGCCACGTTGGTCTTCCTCCAGAATCCTTGTGCCTATGTGCTTTATGGGGTCCCTAACTATACATTCTGAGGGCTCTGAAGACCAAGGCTTCAAGCCATACGGATTTCGGGGTTTAGGTATCTGGGGTTAGGGGTTTAGGGATCGGGGGCTTATAGAGTTCAAATGTTTAAGGTTTAGGGTCTAGGGGTGTAGGGTTCAGGTGTTTGAATTTAGGTTTTGAGACCCTGAGCCCTTAACTTCAGGATTTCGCTGACATCCAAGCACGTTGAAGCCCACCGGGACACCGAAAGTATGTAGACTATTCGCGTTGTGTAGGCATTGGGCCAATATTTGCTATAGGGGCGTTAATAATTAGAACAGGGTTTTGGGACCCATTATACTGTCATTATAATTTATCATAGTAAAGGAGCCCCCAGAAATTGTATAGGTAATTATTTAAGCCCCTGTAGTGTTTAACCAACTCTTGGAGTTGTAGGTAGAGCTCAAAGCCTCATGCGGACCCTTGATTAACACACTTTCCTACCTGAAAGTGGATTAACCATGTAGGGATCCCAAGATTAAGCTCCTTAGCCAAAGAGAGCTCGCTCATCAGGGGTCTCCCTAAACCCTGAATCCTGCGTCCATTCAAGCCCTGAATCCTAAACCCTAAACCTTAACCCTAAACCCTATGCCGTAAATCCTAAACAACTCCTGAACCGGGCTACATTGCGGTGTTCCAATTTCCTTTTCTTTTGCTCCTTCCACATCCTTTTCTTCCTTTCTTTCCTTTGGTAGCTCCAATCTGATCAACATCTATGGGCGCCAACCTTGGTTTTGCGCACTGCTTCCGCGCCATCCTGTTATTGGTCTGCTTGTGTACCACACTCTGATCATCTGCTGGTCAACGTTCAATCGAAGGTGCTGTTGTGTCACCAAAAGGTCATCATCCAATTTCTTGCCTGTTGCCTTCTCATGCTTGCTCGCCATGAACTCTTGGCTACCTGGTTGTTCATCGCCGAAGAGAAAGGGGCCAACCTGTCCGCTTACTAGGATGGAAGCGCCCGCCGGCGGACACTCTGCACCGAATTCGTACAGTCAAGTCCTAGGCTGATTCACGTCGCACTATGCAGGAAACCGCATAAACTGCAAGATCTGATCCGAAAGCCTTACATCGAACCCTAAACTCCCAATCTGAGCTTTGCGGTTTAGGGTTCCTTAAGGGTTCCTTTAGGGGTTCCTTTAAGGGTTCCTTTAAGGGCTCCTTTCAGGGTTCCATTAAGGGCTCCTTTAAGGGTTCCTCTAAGGGTTCCTTGAAGGGTTCCTTTCAGATGTATAGGCGCCTGATAGTCAGCCCCGAAAAGTTGGAAACCAGATTAAGGACAATTAGTGCTGAGATTCCCTGTACATTACTCTTACTGATTGAGGCTATTGGGTTTCCAACTGTTGGGCTTCTACTGACAACTTTGCGGTTTAGGGCTCAGGGGTGAGGTTCAGGGTTAAGGCCCCCCAAACCCGAAACCTTGGGGCTCAACTCCATCTCTACTTGGAGGGTCATGGGACTTAGTAAGTAGGGTGATAAGTACAGTTACCCTGGTTGCTAAGTCCCATGACCCTTTAAGTACCCCCAAACCCTTGACCTCTGGCGATCTCCTCCAGCTTCTCTGCCGAATGCTCCTGCCTCCTGTGCGGACGTGGAAGTTTTCAGGGTGTAGGGTTTGGACGTGGTGAAGCTGATTTTGGGTTTTACGGTTTATCTGAACACCCCCAAAAAACAACTTTGTTATGGACTTATATGATCATGAGGAAAGCATAAGAATTCTGGTGGTTTCGGTGGGTTCAGGGTCTTATTATGGACTCAGTATGAGGAAAGCATACGACTTCTGGAGGTTTCTGTGGGTTTAGGGTCTTATCCTGTGAGCTTCGGGGTAGATCAAGAGCAGGTTTAGGGTGGCTTCAAAAGGAACTGGGCTTAGAGCTTACCGTAGTTCCTTTTTGGAGTTACCTGAAAGGGGGCTCAATATGAACCCCAAAAAGGAACTACTTTGGGGCCTTAGGGTAGGGTTTAAGGCTTGAGGTCGAGGGTCTAGCGTGGCTGCGCAACCCTGCAACAACAAACACCACAGCGCTAACCCCCGAAACCCCAGAACCCCCCCAAGAAAGAAAGATTTAGGGCTTATAAGCCCTCTACCCTAACCTGCCCTAAACGCTAAACCCTACACCCGAACTCCCCCCCTAACCCGCCAACCAAACTGGAAGTGGAGCTTTGGCTCAAGGCTTCGAGGTGGGAGTCGGTGGAGGGCTCCGCCCATGGGGGGTTTAGATGGGTCCAGGGTGTGGGGTTGAGGAGTTTTGGGGGTTTAAGGTTCAGGGTTTAGGGTCCAGGAGGGTGTAAGGTTTGGGGTTTTAGTTTTAGGGTTCAGAAATCAGAGGGGTTTAGATGGGTTTGGGGTGTACCTGGACCCTAAAGAACCTACCGACCTTCCTAGGGTTCCGAATTCTAATTTCCTTATGTGGGAGCTTCTTACCCTACATAGCAGGATCCTTAATATAAGGACCCCAAGATAAGGTACCCCGAATTTTCGGACATTCCCATATAAGTCATTACAAAGGTAGGTTATTTAGGGTTAAGGTAGGGTTTAAGTTTAGGGGGTTAGCTCCCTGTTTCTTTACCTAACAGCTTTCATGTTACGGATCCTGCTGACTGCTGTGCAAAAAACTGATGCAGAAACGGCTCTAGATTGGAGCATCTTGGTAAGTTTGGAGGTTTACGGTTCAGGGAAACACCCTACCCAAAATTCACACCCCAAATTGAAACCCTATATAAATCCTAACCTAAACCTCAAAGGCATTGTGATGTTTCGGGGTGGTGTGAATATCAAACTTGGGGCCCAGTACAGGCAACCCCAAAAGACCCACACCCTAGGCCCTGACTAACCCTAAAAGGCCCCCACACATGCTGAATGATCTGCAATGAGAGGACTTAGGCAAGGAAGCTCCCCACATTATCCAGACGACTCACCGGCAACCCGGAAGCATCCTCTATACGGAGTTTTGCAGATCTTTGTGGATTTTTCTGCTCAGTGCAGTTACTTATTTGGGAGTCTGGGTTATAATGAACAGTAAAACCCGCAAGCCATACTCCCTCCAAACCTTCAGGACCCAAAACGACTCATCGAGAAAAAAGTCCTGTGTAGACGGGCCAGTTCCCGAAGCAGCCTCTCCAAACATTGGGGTATGCAAGGGGCATTTGCAGGGCTCCTTGCAAAGGGTCTCTCTATGGGTTATAATGAAGGCGATTGTAAGGCTACAGGAATGTATTATGAAATATTCTGGTATCTATAATAGTAAGGTGCTAGGCCAACCTGCTTAGGATTTGACGTAGGCTGTGAGCCCCGAACACTCAACTCCTAAGCCACCAGACCTCCTGAACCCTGTAGCCTAAATCCTCAGCCCCGAGCCATAACCTAGACTCTCTGTAGTAGAGGCCAGAAACGCAGAGCAGGGGAGAGGGAAGTAATATTGAGGCTTGAATGATTCAGTGGAAAAGGGGTTTTGAGGTATACATTAGAAGCTGCCCCCACCCTGTAATAGTGACTCTAAGGATTATATTAGGGCCCTACTATATTCCTATTATACCACTATTACAGGGTGGGGGCAGCTTCTAAGGTATACAATACAATGCATGTAATGTAAAAATGGACCCCAGGGAAGAGTAATGTTTGCAATTCGCCAGGCCCTTACATGAGAGGATAGATTTGCAGATTCGGGCGATATGACATAGAACATAGGGGCTGCAACGGGAAAGACTTACAATCTGAGACTGCAAAGCATTGGGACTGCAAGGAGAAAGAGCTACTGATTCAAAGGCCCTCCCCCTACATAGTAACTATTATGCATTACACAATGACACGAAAACCCTAAAAGCATTACCTGGGCCCCCAAAGTATGTAGAATAATAGCCTTTTATAGAAATTTCGGGCCAGTATTTTCCATACTTCTGGGGCTCTAGGTAACCGTCAAAACTCAAAGCCAAAACCCCCACCGAAACGTAAGACCAACAGCCCGGCAACCCACGACCGACAAAATGCCCCCCAAATCCGAACACCCCGAAATGCTCAACCTAGTAGTAGACTAGGTAACCTTTAAAGTATAGATATAGTCCCTATATACCCCAAAACGGTTAAGCTTTATTTCCCCATGATACCCGACAAGTAGGGGTTTAAGGGCTACTTAGAGGAGCATGGGACTTAGTAAGTCAAGTTACAAGTAGGTTAAATTTAGGATAACCCCACGTTGGGGACTTACAATCCCTGTTACAACCTACTTACTAAGCCCCATGACCCTCTAAGTACACGCTTCAACCGGGTTCAAGGAGGTCCGCGATTCTAGGGCCTAGGGAGTTTAGAGTTCTAGGTTCCAGGTTGTAGGGGGTGATGGGGATTGAATTCCTAAACCCTAAACCCTAAACCCTAAACCCAAATGCTAAAGCCACCCTCAGACCCGTCAGTTCTCAACCCTGAGGGATTGAAATGCTAAATTGTTACCTAGAGTCTCCATTGTAGTTAATTCCTCTTTGAGGTGACCTTTACAGGATCCTTCATATGTAATTGGTTAAACAAAAAAAGGACCTACAATAGAGACTATAGGTAAGCTCTAAAGCTGCAAGAGCTTTAAAAATAAAAACACATCCTGAAGCGACAGATTCTAAGGTTCTAAAGCCAAGTTCAACCCCAAGGCATAGAATTTTAGGGCTTAGTCCGTAACGACCAAACAAGCAAGCGCCGCAGATATAAGGGTTTAGGTACCCTAAACCCTAAACCATACAGGCTCCAAACCCGAAACCCGGGCCTCTCGGTGGCTATCCGAAGGACGTCGTTGGCGTTTGCGAGCTGGCAAATCCAAACCTGGTTCCCTAAACCCTAAACCCTAAACCCGAAACCCTAAACCCGAAACCGTAGAAGCTCAGGTTTAGGGGTTTGGGTGTTTGGATTCACAGTTTGGAATTTAAGGCTTAGGATCAAGTGTTTAAGGGTTCTCTGTCTGGGACAGAACTGGCAACTTGCACTATGCTCTAGCCCGATGAGGATAGGGAATAATTAGACTAGGGTTCCGGGGCAGGAAGATGTTAAGGAGGAGACCCAACAAATTAACAGCCACCAAAAACGTATTCACAGCTACGGCGGCGACTGGCGGAAAACAAAAAGCAACAACTATCCCATATCCGTACCTGTAGTGCCCAAGAGTTCATCGGTTGGGTATTGGTTGGTTAGAGCACAGGGTGCTTTTTTGCTTGGCCTCAGTGCTGCTGGTATCCATGTGGGTGGTTGTCAAAATTATGTTCCCTTTTTGGGTCCCTAATATAGTACGGCATCTAATGAATAGGGTACCCAAAAAGGGACCATAATTTTGACAACCACCCATGTATATACCTTGATATGTGGCGTTCAGTTTCGCGTGTTCGGCCTTCTCAGGCGATGACTGCTTGTTTTTGTTTGTTGCGCGGGCTCTTTTCCAACTGCTTAGGGCTTAAAGTTCATAGTTTCTTGACGGCGTTGCTGAAAGTCATGATCACCCTGAACCTTAAATCTTTCACACCGAAACAATGACACCTGAAATCTGGAGCCCCCCCGCCAAGCAAATTACAATAGGGGGCATCAGCTCCCCAAAACCAACTGTCTCAGAAACAACACCCCACACCTACACCAAACACAGCAACCCAAAAACTGCAAACCAACGTCCCGAACCCAAGAACCATCAACCACCAACACCCTTAACAAATCTTAAACTTAAATTAGAAAACCTAAACCATAAACCCTAAACCCTAACCCTAGAAACCCTCAAAAGCCACCATATTCTTTGGAAATCTTAAACCTAAACTAAAAACCCGAAAGAAGTCACCATACCCTATCTTCTTAAACTTAAATTATAGAAACCCTAAAATGCCTAAAAGAGTCCCCCGCACCCCCCCCATATACTTCTCTCGGTGTCCTACTGGGGGCCAGCGCTCCAAACTACACCGCTCGCTCAGAAGCGCGTCGGCCTCGAATGATCTAGAGAACCCAGGGTCCCCAAGGGTCCAAGTACCTAAGAATTAGGGTTTAGGGTTTAGAGTTTAGGGTTTAGAGTTTAGGGTTTAGAGTTTAGGGTTTAGAGTTTAGGGTTTAGAGTTTAGGGTTTAGGGTTTAGGGTTTAGGGTTTAGGGTTTAGGGTTTAGGGTTTAGAGTTTAGGGTTTAGGGTTTAGAGTTTAGGGTTTAGAGTTTAGAGTTTAGGGTTTAGGGTTTAGGGTTTAGGGTTTAGGGTTTAGGGTTTAGAGTTTAGGGTTTAGGGTTTAGGGTTTAGGGTTTAGGTACCTAAGAGCCATATACTTTCCCAGACCCTAACCTACATAACAATTTTCCCCAACCCGAGTACCTGATTATTGGGTCCTCTGGACCCTTGGGGGGGTGCGCTTCAACGAACCCAGAGGGTTTAGGGCTTTGGGTTTTAAATCTGGGTTTGGGGGAGCTAGAAAGTAATTCCGTGAATTTGGAACCCCATATGACCCTGTACTTCTAGAGGGTGCTTTATCGGAGCGCATTAAGGGACCTACATTTTTGGATCCTCCCAGAGAGGTCTGCCAAGGCATGTTCTCGAAAAATCGCGCCCTCAGCCAACTGCTACGGTTGATGATATAAGTCCTGCATTACCTTAAGGACTCTACACTATGGGAATTATGGGATATTCCTTATTATGGGTCATGCAGGATTTATATCATCAGCCGTAGATTCTCAGGGTTCTTGAAACATCAGCATAGCAACCCTCAAGACTCCTCTTCGAATTTCTAAGGCCAGATTATTAATACTTATATTAAAGCCAAACACTATGCACTATAGAACGCCTCCCCGTGACAAAAGAGTCTTGGCCTTAAGGTAAAAGCCAGAAAGTTGGAATATGATTATCCTAACCCTTCTATGGTAAATTATAGGGTATCCTACCATGAAACCATATTCCAACTTTCTGGAGTTCCCTGTAAGGCGAAGCTATAGAGGAGAAGCTCACGACTGAGGACGCCACACTACTTGGAGGGTCGGGGGATTTAGTAAGTAGTTATTCTATAGACTTATATGTACCATAACCCCAATTAGGATCCCCTTTAGGGTACTTATAAGTCTACTTATTAGCTACTTACTCAGTCTTCGACCCTGCAAGTACCCTGCTTGACAAGGAAGCTTTGAGCTTAAGGCTTTCAGAGACTTCTAGCATGTAGGGCCGTGTACTTGGAGGATCATGGGACTTAGTAAGTAGGGTTATAAGTACCCTAATTGGGGTTATAAGCAACTATAAGTATAGTTACCCTATTTATAACCCTCGTTACTAAGTTCCATGACCCTTTAAGTAGGGTCTAGGATGGAAGGTCTGGGCAGCCCAAACGGTTCCAGTAGCGCAGCCTTAAGCGAGAAACCTCCAAGGTTTAAAACTCTAGCTCCATTAGCCGTACCCCTAAATCCTAAACCACCATCCCCGAATGGCGCGCCAATCTCTTCAAGCCTTAGAACATGCTATCTGGTCTATTATGGCATCTTACATACTTTTGGAGAGCTCTAGAGCCTTAACCACATGAGAAGGATATCCAGCAACCAGAAACCAGCACTGAGAGTGTTGAAAACTCAAGTGCAGTAGCGGCCGTAACACTTGGGGTCCGTGGTACTTTGTGACCGCGACTCTTTCCGCTACCATCCACAGCTACTCCTTGACTATCGTCCCGCTACAGATAGCTACGCACAAACCTTCAGATAAGCATGTATCTGTGTGCGTGTTTTGTGGACACTGTGTGCGTTCAACCCCGAGACTCCCAGCCTCAATGACTATTAACTGCAAGTGTTCCTTTTCCCGGTCACTGCCTCGCTGCTGGACCATGTCAATGCCTCTTTGGTCGACTGGAACTGCCGTTCCTGCAGGGTTTCGGATGATAACTAAACAAAACAGGAAACAAAGAACCAACGAACAAACTGACCAGTAAATGAGTGGACTATAGCCATATAATATATGTATACACAGGTAAGTATTTATACATATGCATACATCAGATATGCATATATGAAGGGGTTCAAGGGTATGGGCTAGCCGTCCAGCGCCAAGGACTCATGCGATCATGCAAGGCGAAGAAATAGCCGGCCTGCACCGTCCCAGTTGTGAGGGTCGTCTTCCGGTCAGCCAGAGTCTTTGTCACAGCCGGTTGTTAGTGCTGCTGTGATGAGCTTTGCTAGCTGCTCTTCGTACGAACCCCTTGCTGCCAATGGTGCTGATAGTGTGGTTTAACTGGTAACGACTAGTAGGTTTGCGAGTACCGCAGCTAATCGTATGATAACCTTTGTCGTTGCTATCACCACCACCAGCGCTACTATGAAGCCCTCTATTGCACCCCAACACAGTCTTGTGATCTCAGCTAAGCATGTAGATTCGTAGATCTTTACCTCGGCTATGGGACTGGAATGTCTGGAGCCTACATAGGCGTATAGAGTCTCTGAGAGTGCGGCTGAAAAGTGAGCGTGTAGGGTTGTAAGGTTGGTTACCCTTCATAATACTTCGAGTAGGGTTTTGGGGCCCATTACACTATAAGTAGGATAAGATACCCCCCCCTCCCCTCAAAAAAAAGAGTACAAGCAATTATTAAGGCCCCTATACTACACCCTTCCAGTAGCCCTTTTAGCATCCCGTAAAGGAGCCCTTTGGAGGAGCCCAGGGAGCCCTAGGAATAGTAGAGGTAACTATTATCAAAGGCGAAAAGGAGGGACCCTGAATGGGGATCCCTACCCTATAAGGGGCTATCTGATGGGTACATAATAGCTATGTTAAGCGTATATACCTAGGGGTCCTTACTAAGGGTCCCACCTCTTACCCTTGGAATTATTAAAGTAAAAGCCAGAAAGTTGGAATATGATTATCCTATCCTAAACCCTTAATGGTAAATTATAGGGTATCCTACCCTGAAACCATATTCCAACTTTCTGGAGTTCCCTTTAAAGGCTTTCCAACCCGGGTGTATGACCCGAGTCTGGCTAAGGAGGGCCTTCAAAGACGCCAAAGCAGCATCCACGTTCTTCCTGCGCAGAGCCGGGCTCTTACTGTCGCAGCCTTCACGACTGAATGCTGTATATAAATATGTATACACATATAGTGACATATAGGTATATATATATATATATATATATATGTACATACATATAACTATGTATACATATATATATATATGCAAACGAACTTACCTAAGGTCCTGACGTATGACACCCTGGACCTTACCAATCTACCTTCCTTTAGTACACCCTGCCCTATACCCTAAACCCAGTGGCGTGCTGGGGTTTGAAGCTGGGTTATTTAGGCCGCATCTGCAGCTTGGAGCTGTTCTTAACGTGCGAAACCACCAAGCCCAACTGCTTTGCATAAAAGTCAAAAACCACAAGCTGCTAAAAGAGACCATAAACCCTAAAACCACTGTTCCTGTACGGTTCAGGGCTCATATTTGAAACTGCCAGGACTTTAAAACCTTAAGGCCTTAAGGTTTGCATCGGCATCAGAGTGTATCGCCTCACTCACAAACGTTTCGAAGACGGCAGGAGGACGTTAGGGTTAAGGCCTTATGGCACTGGAACTATGAGACAACCCGACTTTGAACCTCGGAACGAAAGCTGAGGCCTGGAAGCGACGAGCCCTCAGTTGCAGGTTTGCAGTTTCGGGTGCTGATTTAGCTAGAACGCTGGGTCCATGTACTCATGAAGTATTTGATGTGGCTTTAATCTGGTCCTTGTTATATGAGTGCTTTAAAGCCGATGAATTTACGGGTACATGGACCTTAGAGTAGGGTTTAGGGCCAGGGTTTGGGGTTAGGCATGTGCGAGCTATGCAGCCTTTGCGGTAGCAATGGGAAAAGGTGAAGACTCCTTTTCACGACTATTGACCAGTCTGCCCCTAGCATGGTCCCTAAACCCTTTACCCCAAAACCAAAAACCTAAACGCTAAACCCTTGTTCCTGATCTAGGATTGCCCCGAACAGGCTTTTCTCTTCGGGCAAAAGCTAGACCCCATGCTTTAATCGGTGAACTCACATCAGAAAGAACACACCTTTGCAGCGGTGTCTACAGGTAGTACACCAGGCTTGGGAGTATTTTGCAGAGTGCACCGTTGCTCAAATCCTGGCACACGGGGCGAGAAAACAGCGCAGCCACTGCAACCACCTGCAGACAGGTGCATGCAGACGGTGCAGTTCTTGTTTTTGATAAAATTTAGGTATGATGCTTCGGGTCTGCGGTTTACGCTTTGCGGCTTAGGGTCAGACATTTCCTGGAAACCCCAAGTTTATGTAAAAAACCCTAGACGCTTAACTTAACTTGTGGCGCTTAAGAGGATTTTTCAACTCGGAACCCATGGTTCTTGAAAGAGAGTTGGGTCCTTGACATACATACAAAGATGGCTACCTTCTGAGGCGATTTCGGTGATCCACGACTGTCTTATAGTTTTGTTATCAGGGTTTCATGATTTTGTACCGCAGCCCTTTTCGAGCTCCTTGTGAAGATAATGCAAGTGAACACTCAAGGCAAGGTTCGACTTGCAAAGCTTTGCTTTGCCAACTGTTCGTACCTGTGAGTTAAAGTGAAACCTAATTTTGTGGAATCAACGGGCTCGATATTATGTCTGCATTTGGAAGTACAGGCTATGCTACTTAGAACCTGCGTACTTCGTCCCTCAAAGGTAGGCAGTTTCAACCAAGACGGTGAAACAGGAACAGCCTTCACCAACAAACTATAACTATAGCTTTACTTCATCTGGCATATACCCGTATTATCAGCACACAGCACTGATGGGGCTAAACAAAGGCTTCCGCATACCTCTGCACTTCCGCGCCATCCCAGAGGGCACCGCCGTTCTTGGGTAGCTGTTTGGATCTTTTGGCTGGCAGGGCTGAACTAATTTGGCAAAAGAACCCGCCGCCCTAAACGCTGAAGCCAAACTGTACATGGAGTAGCCATGACAAGGAAAAGTTGCCGTAGCAATGCAAGGTTCTGCCAATCAGCACCACCCAGAGACTCCAAAACCCCTTAATTAAGGAATATACCTTAAATTATAGTAGGGATCCTAATATGATTCAAGGTATATTCCTTAATTAAGGGGTTTTGGAGTCTCTGGGCACTGAGCTTCACTCTCTTGGGCACCCTGCCGCGAAAGGCCACCCAACACAGCAGCCTGAAGATGAGCGTGAATGTAGGGGCCTCAATAATTAAAACAGGGTTTTGGGCCCATTATACTATAGTTATCTAGGCTGTCCAGTAGCCCACTGGGAAAAACATATACTTCTTTAGGCTTCTTATTTTATGATAGGAACCCAGAAACCTGAAAGTAAAAAAGTGTACCACTGAACAGCCTGGTAATTAGTAGGTGCCCCCAAGCTGGCATAGGTACTTATTTAGGCCACTGCATTCATCTTTTCATTGGTTCATGCGGACAACCTTAACGCCCTGGTACTCTGGATTCTACAGCCCAAGTAAACACGCGCACAAGGTACTTGGAGGTTCATGGGTAGTTAAAAGTGAAGCTATAAGTACGATAACTGTAGTTACAACCGATATTATGGGACTTCTAAGCCCACTTAGTATAGGGGCCTTAATAATTAGAATAGGGGGCGGGGGCCATGTTATACCGTTGCATTTCCCTCTTGGCGCGGAGCTCTCTTGATGCGCTAAGGCTCCAGTGCTGTCGAAGCGGTGGAGCTTTCTTCGGTTATGGGTCTAAGTTTTAGGGATGTAAGGTTCAGGGTTATGGCCTTGTGGCAAACCTTATGTTATGGGATGTTATAGGTCTAGGGTTTAGGGTTTTGGTTTAAGGTTTAGGGTTATGATTAATATTAGTACTAATATTATCATTAGTATTAATATTAGTATTAGTATTAGTATTAGTATTCGTATTAGTATGAATATTATTATTAATATTAGTATTAGTATATGGCCTTCTGGCAAGCCTTGTGTACACATGCAGCGGGCCTCTTGCAACCCGACCAAGCCGACAGTTAACTGAAACCTGGATGACCCGAAACGAACCTATGTAAAGGGAACTTCAGAAAGTTGGAATATGGACTAATGGTAGGATCCCCTATAATTTCCCTTAAAGGGGTTACGATAATGATATTCCAACTTTCTGGCTTCTACTGTATGTAAGGGTGGGGTCATGCGCCATTATTTCGTCAGGTGGGGGCTATAGAGGTAAGTATTGCTTATGTAAACGGCGGTTCGAAAAAGGGTATATCATTACTTGTCAATATTTACTCCAGAGCCCTATATATGAGGTATAGTCTTGGCAAATCTTCAGGCCCCTAAATGGGAGTTTCCGAAAATGGGGACCCTAATATAGTACCCATGAATAGTAGGATCCTTATTATAAGGACCCCCAAATACGGTACCCCTCATTTTCGGAAACTCCCAAATGACGACGTGCAAGACGCCTCGTTCGCTTGGCTGAGAGGCTCTCCGCGGCGGAGGTCCAGTAGACTCTGGGGCAAGACAGAGGTGTTCTTGGCCCAATGGACCCTAAGGGTCCATGTACCCATATGGGAGATTCCGAAAATTGGGGGTACCGTTTTTTGGGGTCCTCGTAATTAGGATCCTACTATTTAGGGTCCTTCTTTTAGGGTCCCCTATTTTCGGAAACCCCCATATAGCATATACTTCGGGCCCAATGTACCTATATAGGGAGTACATTAAGGCCAATGTATATACCATAGGAGTACATGGACGATTAGGGAGATCGGTGTGGGTTTAGGGTTTAAGGTCTCGGGTGTAGCCCGAGCCCTAAACCCTAAACCCTGAAGGGGCAAAACTTAGGGTTTCTCGGCGTGGCTTCCTGTTTTGCGCTTTAGGCCTTGCAGATTTGGATTTACGGGATTGAATCCGTGGATCAGAAAAGAAGCCCCAAGGCTGTAAGGTCGGGCCCTTTAGGGTTTGGGGTTTAGCGGTTTAGGGTTAAGGGTTAATATGTAAAGTGGGGTCTTGGAGTACATTCGACCAGACACTATGCACAGGACTCTATGGCGACTCTGTTAGATCATTAGCAAGCCACTATTCCGACCACTGTGGCAGCCTTGGCACCCCTTGTGTCGATGATTATGGCAAACCCGTCCACAGCAAACGAGTGTGCACGGGAAACAAAACCCCGCCCTTTCCCAGACAACTGTTCTCCCAAGCACACCCTACACTGAACCCCATAAAATTGGAAACCGGTTAAGGCCAAACAGTGCTGGGATTCGATATGCATTACTCTTAAGGACTGAGGCGATTGGGTTTCCAATTTTGGGCTTCTACCCTACAGCCACCCTCGCATGGACCTACATTCCCAGCAAACACTTGGATCCTGCAGCTGGCGCCTAAAGAAATCCACAGCCTCAGCGCTCGACCATGTGGCGCTGGTAGACACGCAATGAAATCTTACCCGCCATGAACCGGAACTCCGAACCCAGTAGCCCTAAAATACAACACAACAAGTACACACACATATATATATATATATATATATAGATAGATATATGTATAACTCGCGAAGAGCCCAATGCCCTTTTATCTCAGAAATGTACCGGAAACTGTATTATAGGGCTTCTTTACATGACATATTTCTTGATTAAGGGCTACGGGGCTCTTTGGGTATATCCGTTCCTGGCTTTGGAACTTGGTGCCCGCACCCGCGCGAGGTTGGCGCTCCCAGCTGAAATGCCTGCCTGGCAAAATCTAAGGGGGTTAGCGTGTTGGGTTTGCAGTGTCGGGTTAACCGCCTTGGGTTGCGAGCTTTTAGTAAACCCCGCAAAGTTGGAAACCAGATTAAGGACAAATGCTGCTGGGATTCCCTTCTTAAGGATTGAGGCTATTGGGTGTTCAACTTTTGGGCTCCTACTGTACCCGTCTTGGGTCGGGGGCCTTAGGTTTTAGGCTTAGTTGCATTCGGGTTGCCCGCTTTGGTTTTGGGCTTAAGTGTGGCAGACGGGGCTTGCGGCACAGAGTCTGAAAAATCTACCCTAAACTCTAAACCCTGAACCCTAAGCCCTAAACCCTGAACCCTAAACCCCAAACCCTGAACCCTACCCTAATTAAGGCCCCAAAGTATATAGTTCCTTTTTCGGGGTTCATATGTAGAATCCTATAAGGTAATCCCAAAAAAGGAACTATATACTTTGGGGCCTATGGGTAAACCCTCCATCGAAACCCCAAAAACCTACGTGTCATGTGTGTCGCAAAACCCTGAAACATCGAGTCCCAAGCTCCCAAAGTTCAAAGAGCAGAAGGCCAGCAAGCAAGCGAGCAACGTAAGGGTTGATGGTGATGATGGCGGTGATGATGACAGTGATGATGACGGTGATGGTGATGGTTATGGTGCTGATGGCGGTGATAGTGATGGTAATGAAGACGGTGATGATGACGGGGATAGTGATGGTGATCGTGATGATGATGGTGATGATGACGGTGATGGTGATGGTGATGATGATGGTGATGGTGACGGTTATGGTTATGGTGACTGTGATGATGATGATGGTGATGCTGATGATGACGGTGATGATGACGGTGATGATGACGGTGATGGTGTTGGTGATGATGACGGTGATGGTGATGGTGATGATGACGGTGCTGATGACAGTGATGGTGGTGGTGATGATGGTGGTGATGATGACGGCGATGACGGTGGTGAAGAGAGAACACGACTAATTTTCAGTAAGCAGTGGTGACACAAGCAAGAGTCAAACCGAGAGCCCAAACTCCAGAGAACAATGCCAGAAGGTTTGGGCGGGTAGTGTTTAGGAGGTAATTTAGAAGTTTAGGGTTTAGGGTTTAGCCTGCAACGCAGACACACTGACGGAATCAGATTTGAGTGTGTATATATATATATATGTGTGTGTGTGTGTGTCTGTGTATGCGTATGCGTTTATGTACATATATATATATATATATATACATACAGTATATATATACACACATACACATACACGCAGCTACACGGAAGCACAGACTACAAGGCTCTTGCCCGACCCAGCACTCGTGCTCCAAGCATGCTATTCGTACCTAACCCATAGGGTCCGTATATACTAACATTATTACCCTATGTCCAAGGACCTTATAGTTAGGGCCCTGGACCCCTTAAGGACCCAATAACAAGGTCCCTGCAAGCCTAGGGTTATGGTGTTAGGCTTCAAAAGACCATCCTTATTGTGGCTTTGCGGACTTAATTCCATAATAGTAGTAAGTATGGACCCTCTGGGTAAATACTTTGGGGTCTACCGTCCAGAAATAGTACCTGCTTGGGCCACGTGGGAGCATGTAAAGACCCCATACGCTGAAGTTAAACAGAAAGCATGCCCACAGTGTCCATAGACACTACCATTTTGGCGTTGGGTCCCAACACTCCATCCTTATTATGGCTTGGGGGACCTAATTCCATAATAGTATTCTGTGCGGACCCTCTGGCATTTTTCAGCCAGAAGCGCGGAGCCTCACTGCGTGAGAGCGCGCAGACCCGGCACCTCCCACAGCTGCTGCAAAACCCTGAGGCTCCATGTACCCATATAGTATATACTTGGGCGTTAAAGGGGTTCCTATGTAGGTACTTGAGGCCTAAGTGTATACACCAAACCCAGACAAGTTCAAACGTTCTTACAGAGGCCATATACAGGAACCGCAAAAAAGTCTAAAGTTCTCCTATAGGCTTCGTAAGGTTTAGAAGGGAGCGCATGGGGTTTGGCTTCTTTACTTTGGTCTTTGCAGGGCTTCGGGCCATGGAGTGTTCAAGAAAAACCCATAAGCACAGCATCTACGTGACGGGCTTTATGATAAGGGCAAAGGGATCACAAATAAGAACTAGTCAAAGTGTTGGCACCGTTGATGCCGCGAAGCTCAAACTCCTGAACTCTACGCTGGGACAGCACAAGTGCCATTATGGCTCGGGGGTTCTCGATTGGAGCAGGTTGGTAAGCATGCGCCAGGGATTCACAACAAACAACATAGCCCTGTAAACAGATGGAGCACGCAACGTTGAACCCCTAAACCCTGAACCCAAGCCTAAACCCCTAAAACCTTAAACCCTAAATGCCAGCATAAGGTGAGCAGAGCGTGTAGAGGTTACTGAATCCCGCTTCATGCCTGCGCAACAGCTCCACCGGCAGAGCATCGAAATCAGACATCACCAAGACCTCGACTGAGGGAGGGCAATGTAGGAGCCTAAGTAATTGCCAATACTATTTTCGGGATTCCTTATTATAGTCAACGTAAAATATACCCCCCCCCACCAGAAAAAACAAAATCTGTTCTAATCATTAAGGCCTCTATATTGGGATTGTTCAGTTTCAGGAAAAAGCCTTTCTGCCTGTGCACCGTCGAGCTTGGAGAGCATTTCATGACCATCAGCTGTCCATGCCCTACTTGGAGGTTCATGGGTAATTGGTTTAGGGTTTAGGGTGGAGGTTCATGGGTAATTATAAGAGGGGTTATATGTTCCCTAAGACGGGTTCTAAGTATAGTTACTATAATTACCCCACTTCTAATCCCGCTTAATTATAACCACCCATGAACCTCCAAGTACGCCCTTAACTCCAAACCCCAAACCCCGGCTGTGCCTTTACAGGACTCTACACCACCGCATGTCGAATGCGCAACATGGACAGGAGGCTGAGCTGAAAAGTTCGCTCGTGTTCACTCTCTAACCGATTACCTGGAACGGAAAATGTGTCAACACCTCTCGCAGAAGAACTGTTTATGGTTAGGACTCAAAGCCAGAAGCCAATGGTAACCAACAAAACCCGTTACATGGGAGGGGCCTAGAGGGCCTAGGTGGGGACGGGTGGGGGCAAACAATCTGAGACTGTTCCCGAACTTCTAGCATGAAGGCATAGTTCGGCCAGCGGTCCTGAATCCGTAGCAATGCACAGCAATCTTACATCCAGAACCCTACGTCTGCAGCAAACTGTGCATGCAGAGGCTCAGTAGAGACATGGTCCGGACGCACTCATGAAAATTAGAGATTAGTGCTGTACCTGGGCTCAGTAGAGACATGGTCCGGACTCCGGACGTACTCATGAGCGTTAGAGTTTGGTGCCGTACCTAGGCTGCTCGCGATAAGCCGTAGGCAATAAGACCTTAATTGGGACAAACTCTAACAAAGCTACCAGCCCACATCAAACTGTCCAGAACCTTGCAAATGTACACACACATACATCTCCGTGTCGTACTTGTGTATTCATACACACAAATTTATATGTGTATGTAAATACACGCATAGTTACATACATACATACATACATACATACATACATACCTACGTACACACATACATACATACATACATACGTATATATACATACATACACACATACCTACCTACCTACATACGCACACAGACACGTACATGCACATGTAGATGTAGCTGTAGATGTATATGCATGTGTATATGTGTATATGCCTGTAATGTAGATGTATACGTATCATACAGATATCCGCACACATTCTTATGTAATATGATACTGCTATTACTGCAATACATGGAGGCAGAGTCAGCCTGATGATAAGAATCCAAGCGGGACCGTTTTTAGAGCCCTCACCCCCCTGAAGGTATAAGAGCCCACTGTTCCGTTGCGCAAGTGCATGCGATGCGATCATTAATAATTGAGGCACCGCTAAATCCTTAGCCCTAAACCCTAGACCCTGAACCCTATAAGCACTACGTTCGAAACCCTAAACGCTAAATCCTAAATCCTAGACCCTAAATCCCAAACCCTCTAAGCACTACATTCGAAACCCTAAACGCTAAATCCTAAATCCTAAACCCTAAATCCCAAACCCTCTAAGCACTACATTCGAAACCCTAAACGCTAAATCCTAAATCCTAGACCCTAAATCCCAAACCCTCTAAGCACTACATTCGAAACCCTAAACGCTAAATCCTAAATCCTAAACCCTAAATCCCAAACCCTCTAAGCACTACATTCGAAACCCTAAACGCTAAATCTTAAATCCTAAACCCTAAATCCCAAACCCTCTAAGCACTACATTCGAAACCCTAAACGCTAAATCCTAAATCCTAAACCCTAAATCCCAAACCCTCTAAGCACTACATTCGAAACCGGCACCTGGGCATCGTCCCTGTTCTTGTCGTGCTCCATCTCCTCCTGGCGGCGGGACTCACGCATAGGTCCGCAAGCCTATCAGGGTTTAGGGTTTAGGGGTTAGGGGTTTAGGGTTTAGGGGTTTAGGAGTTTAGGGGTTAGGGTTTAGGACACATTGGCCCCAAAACCCTAAAACCTGAACCCTACAACCCTAGACCCTGGCCTCAACGAGGCTGGAGAGCAGCTGCTGCTTCAATTCTCCCAAAGCTTCAGACGAAGAAGCCAGCTGCAAGGGGACCTGCGGCTGGTTTAAGTTGCCATGACCTGGACCCCAAAAGTATGTAGAATAATAGCCTTTTATAGGTTTGGGCCATTATTTTACCTACTTTTGGGAGTCTAGGGATAGGCATCTGTAGCAAATGATATGGTTTCTTTATTATGGTAACTTAAATTCAGTCCCTTAACAAGAACCCAGTTTAGGGTTTAGGGCTCCCAGGCTTTCTTCTATGCTTTGCCCCACGGGTCGTATTGGTCAAAAAGTGTGTGCCCGGCCACGCAGGACCTCCTAATTGGTGCTTCTTTTTGAGTATGTCACAGTTGGGCTCTCTTGAACACGACGAGTGCTCGTCGTTTTGTCACCGGAAATAGCGGTCCTCAAAGTCTTGAGGTGTTAGGGTGCCGGATTCAAGGTTCAGGGTTGGTTAAGAGCTTTGGGATTGGAGGGCTGAGGGAGTCGGGTTCAGGATTGGAGGTTAGCATGCAAATTATTTCCTGACTTACCCAAAACAGCCCTGACATTAACTTGTAGTGCATCTACCGGATGATTACCAGGCGGAGCGCCTCGCTTGACAACGCAGCCCCGAAAAGCTTACCAAAGAACGTTTGACAACGACTCTCTGTGAACAGTGTCACCCCAATAGTTGAAGGCCTTGGGCAACTCAAAACACGCAAGATCCTTGACATTTCAATTGCTAGGGCTCTACTGCTCATTGCTCAAAGATATAAGAGGCACTCATGTTGAGCCGAAACAGTTCGAAGACAGCTTCGGTATATGCGCGTTTGTGTGTGTGTGTGTGTGTGTGTAAGTATGTAAGTATGTATGTATCTACTTACGTATGTATTTATGTATGCACGTAGTTGTGTATCAATTTTTGTACATGTATATAGCATACATATATGAAAGCATATATTGGCTAGCCTTTCATGGCCCTGTATTTGAGTGACATCACTTCGGGTGCAGCCCTGCGGTGGCACCTCGTCTGGAAACCGGGCCTCCTGCGTTTCGATCCGAAGCGAGGACGTTTATCAGTAAGGGTTGTGGTTAGAGATTATGGTCTAGGTTTATGGTTTGAGTAGTGCACGGAGATAGTTGCCTTGGTCTAACTCGCCGACTCCATGCAGCATGGGCGCTTGAACATTTAGAAGAAGGGTTTGGGGTTTCGCGGCATGAGGCAAGGAGCACAACTAGTATTTTTCAGGCCCCTACATATACGAGCCCGCAGTTGTCATAACTTGTAGACTCGTGGCTCCATAAACGGTCCATGCATTAAGCCCTGACCCTAAATGCTAACCTTAACTAAACCCTAAACCCTTAAACCCTAGACGCCAAGACCCTCAACTCAAAACACCTAGGCCCTAAACCCTCAAAAACCCTAAATCCTAAACCGCAAAAAAATCCTACACCCTTTGTAGGCCCTGAGACTATAGAGTTTTTGGGTCAGGGCCCTCAGCTTGAGGGTTTAGGGCCAGGGCCTTTAATTCAACTTAGAGGCCCAGGATTTATGGGAGTTTCCGAAAATAGGGGTACCCTACTTTGGGGTCCTTATTGTAACGATCCTACGATTTAGGGTACTGTACTAGGGTCCCCAAAATTGGAAACTCCCATTTGAAGGCTTAGGATGTATTTGGGGCCTTAAACGACGGTGTTTAAGGCCTTAAGCTGCTGGGTTTAGGGTGAGGTATTAGAGTTTGGAGGGTCGGGGGACTTGGTAACTAGTTATTTTAAAGACTTATGAGTACCATAACACCAATGAGGATCCCTTTTAGGGTGCAGTACTTACAAGTCTACTTGCTACCGCTTTCTAAGTCCCCCGACACTTTCAACTGCAGGGCTCAGGGTTTACATCGGGCGCCTCGGTTCGACTAGTGATTCAGGGTGCCTGCCGGAATTACCCGCATTCCTTTTTAGAGGATAGAGTAAGTGTTTCTACAGGTGCTTTGCACGGGCCATAAAATGTCAGTAGATTTTGTGGGGTATGTCGTAGCATCAATATATCTGCAGGAACCCAACCCTAAACCCAGAAACAAATGACCTAAACCCTGGTACGCCTGATAGAGGCTTGGGTTATGTAAGCTCATACTTATCTTCAGGAGCCCAATCCGAAACTCCGAGTCCTACTTGGAGGGTAGGTAATAAGTAGACTCATAAGTACCCAAAAAGGGATCTTAATTGGGGTTATGGTACTTATAAGTATATTGATTATCTACATACTAAGTCCCCTGACCCTCCAAGCAAAGCAAGGTCCTGGCATCAAATCCTAATCCCTAGACCGTGAACCCTAAACCCTAAACCCTCCTAAACCCCTGAACCCTAGCCCGGAATCCTAAATCCTGAACTCTAAACCTTCCTCTCGCAACTCATCCGTCAGCAATGCCACTCGAACTCCAACCTGCCGATCTCGGTACGAAGGGTGTCGGGATCTTAGCAGGCTCAGATGCTTGCAGGTTTAGGGTTTACGGTTTTGGGGGGATAGGAATTTTCGGCTTGGGGCTTGAGGAACCCTAAACCCTAAACCGGGCTTGGAGGGCTTGGGATTTTAGTGGACTGGGTTTAGGATGGCTCAGGTGACTTCTCTAGGGGTGTGGACACCAAGCATGATCATATACTCTCCTAGTCGGTACTACTATCGCAAACCCTGAACCCCAAAAAACCCTAGACCGAAATCAAAACCTTAAACCCTCAAAGGCTTAAGCCCTTCAATCCCGTATGCCCTCAAACCCCTAAGCCCTGAAATCCTACGTAGCCGACGCGCTGTAACCCTTAAGTCCTATATAGCCTACAGCGCTAAACCCTACGAGTAGCCTACACCCTGTAACCCTCGAGCCCGATAGCCTACCTGTAATTAGCCGAAAAAAGACCTACCTTTTTAAGGACCTATGTTTAGAATAAGGAACCCTAAAAACAGGTAGGTCTTTCCGGCTACAGGTATGGCCTTAACCCTGAAACCCGCAAACCCTCAGTCCTCCACGCTTCAGCCTCTACCTTCGAGCCCTGATCTGGGTTGTGCTTTAAACCCTTTATAAGGAAATAGGGGAAATTAAAAATCATCCCAAAGCACAACCCAGTTACAAGCCCTAAGCCATAAGCCCAAACCCTAACGAAACCGTGAGCTCTTATAAGCCCTAAACCATAAGCCCATAAGTTCAAACCCTAGACCGTGAGCCCTTAAGCCCCCAATCCTGAACTCGAGTGATAGGCAGAACCTTCTAAAAGGGGGTGGTAGGTGTGGGGGGAAGGGGGGGAGAGGGGGGATCTGCTTCGATAATTCGGGGGAGGTATAGAGTTTAGAGGTGTAGGGGTTGGGGGTATCATGGTTCAGGGTGTAGGATGTAAGGGTTTTGGGCTATTTTAGATTTCAGTCTACTTTCTGCATTCTACGATATTGTGCAGTATAACTCGGGACTCAGGGCCAAGGGGAATTGCATCAACAAGCTACGCGGCGAAACCGTAAAAACATGCCGAACCCGTGACCCCTAAACCTTAACTTCTAGATCTTGATCATGATTAAACTTTGATTAAACCGTGATCAAACTCTCCATCGGGCATATGTGTGCGGCTCAGGGTTATTTCGTGGACTGGTCCTCCAGCTGTACCTGCAAAGTCCTCCGTGCTTTCTCCGAGCTGTGCCAGGCATTCTTCCAGGAAGTGGCCTCTTGGCTGCTCTGCGAAAGCTTCACGGCGTTGAGCATTGCCTGATTACTCTTACCTTTGGTTAGCAGGGAATGGAGGTACAATTATAACTACTGTTGCTACCATTCTTCCATTCCCTGAACATATTGGGGAAAAAAATCCCCAATATGTTTACTATTACTACCATTCTTCCATTCCCTACTAACCAAAGGTAAGTACTGGGAGCTCAGGGTCTCGTTAGCCTTCTGGAGCTCCTCCTTCCGCGTCGCCAACCTCTTCTGCTCGGCCAGCTCTCCTTGCACGGTCGAGAGCCGTGCTTCGCATTGAGCTCCGCTTTCTGGGCCGTCATCAAGTGCTGTGCTCTGAATTTTTCACGATCAGGAACCAAGTCGAGGTCAAAGCCATTCGGCCTCAAGCCCTAGAAGCACTAAGCCCTAATCCACGGTCCCTCCAATTGAGTTGCCACCACAGCATGTCAACGTCTCCTTCTTGCACAAGCCTCGGCTTCCAGCAGCGGTAGCCAATGAACACTCTCTTTGCGAAGCTCCTGGACACCCAGAGCCTCCAAAACCCCTTAATTAAGGAATATACCTTAAATAGTATAGTAGGGATCCTAATATGATTTAAGGTATATTCCTTAATCAAGGAATATACCTTAAATCATATTAGGATCCCTACTATCATTTAAGGTATATTCCTTAATTAAGGGGTTTTGGAGTCTCTGGACATATCGAGGCTTTGGGCTCCTAGGGCTTATGGTTGCTTTGGGGCTGAGCACGCGCTGATCCACCGAAACCCAAAAACCCTAAACGCTCAAACCCTAAACCCTAAATGCTATCTAAACACCGTTGTTCCTGCGATGGTTGCTTTGGTAGTAATAATAGTTATAATTGACCCCCATTCCTCCCATTCCCTACTAACCAATGGTAAGGTTTGGGGGCTCAAGGTTTAGTGTCAAGAGCTGAGGGCTGAGGGTTCAAGAAGAAGATGCTCCGTCGCAGCACTGGGAACTGAAACACTAGGCCCTGAATCCCCTTAAACCCTAATCCCGAAATCCCCTCAAACCCTAAACCCTAAATCCCCTTGAAGCCTAAACCCTTACCGTATAACAGCACCCTTTCATCTCCCCTGCTGTCAGAGCTACGATGTCGAAACTCTACGGAGCACTCGTACACCTTATCCTAGGGCTCCATGTGGGAGTTTCCGAAAATTGCGGGTACCTTGTTTTGGGGTCCTTAAAATAAGGATCCTAGTATTTAGGGTACTATATGAGGGTTCCCTATTTTCGGCAAGCCCCATGTACCTATATAAACCGCAAGCTCTAAGCCTGTATAGTAGGGAAAGTCAGGGTTTTCGTGGCAGGCCAAAGAGGGAGTTCTTGCGAGGCGCCAAGAGCATAATCATAACGAAGAGTTGCAGACAACCGCAGTAAACATACCCTGAAACCTAAACCCTGCTTGAACCCTTGGGCAGCGTTGCTCGAACTCTCCACTTTCGTTCCAGATCAGGACGTCAGGAGCTGGAACGGGGGGCAGTGGAGGCCACCGTTTCGGGATTGGTGTTTACCTGGACCGCAAATAACCTTTTGAGGGGTTCCATTATTATGATGTCTTTGTATTGTGTTTTTAACAAGGCAGGTTGTTCGGGGATTTGGTAGGGTATCGGTTTAGGGTTTAGGCTTTAAGGGTTTAGGGTTAGGGCCCTGTTGAAGCTTGTCAGTTTCAGCGTTCGCCTCAAAGCGAAGACCGTTCTCGCATTCAGCTCTGCGGGAATAATCGGGATGCCCGCTGCTTCACGCAAGAACACCACAACTGACGACAATGCGTCGGCAAATGCCACAGAAAACACCGCATGCAATCGGCAATTGAGCGTTTGCTTTAAGATGCTGCTTCATTAACATCGTAAAGCAACAGCCTCGAATCCAAATTCAATTCCAGTGATCTTCGGGATCGGTCGTGGACAATACCCATAGGCCCCAAAGTAGTTCCTTCTTGGGGTTCGCATATAGAATCCTATAGGGTATATCCAATAAAGGAACTGAGTAAAGATGCACTCACAGGCTGCATCTCCAAGGGCCTGACCCGGGTCCTTTAAACCCTAAAGTCTCAGCGTGATGGCTTGAAGCAGCACTTGGAGGGCCGGGGGACGTAGTAAGTGGATGATAAGTAGACTTATAGGTACCCTGGAAGGGATCCTAATTGGGGTTATGGTACTTGATCCCTTTAAGGATCTCTCTCTACAATCCTTAAAGATCCCTTTCAGGGTAAATTTTATAGAACCCATATAGATCGCGTTAAGGATCCCTTTAAGCTCTCTTCTTCAACAACCGGGCCCAAAAAAGTTCAAACTGTCTAGGATAGAGCTAATGTATAAGGCCAAAAAGCTTAAAGTTCCCCGGTTCATTGTATAACTATAGATCCGTACCCTTATAGATCCCTTTAAGGATCTCTTTATAGAGCCCTTTTAGATCGCTTTGAGGATCCCTTTAAGCAGCCCGCAGCGGATCCTCCGGAGGCAGCCACGGTACCCAGCGGGCGAGCTGCTTGTCGTACTCGAGAGGGAGCGCCTGGTGCGAATCTGAGGTGACTGAAGGGTTTGCATAGATTTAGGGCTTTAGGGTCTAGAGGGGGGGGTGTGGGGTTTGGGGGGGTTAGGGTTAAGGGTTTAGGGTTTATAAGGATTACTGGCTAAGTGCCGACCGCAAGGTCTTTGTGCATCTTTGTCTAAGGGGTCTACAGAGGCCGCATGTCGTTAAAGGTAGAAGAGAATCCTAAACCCTAAACTAGAAAGATTTGCATATTGTGAAGTGCTTGTGTGGCGGCGCGTGTAGCTTCTGCTAAGCATCCGGAAATCTCAGGAGTGAACTAAGGGAACTTGTCGCCGAAGTATTCTTGCTTTTTTTACGACACTGTTTCCGTGGTCTGGCTGGGACTATGCATGCATACTTTAACTTTCCCAAGTCCAGCAATTCGCGTTTTGTTCGCAGTTGCCTACAATCCTTCTTTGTCTCTGAATCTGGTTATTGAACAAGCGCAACATGGCATATGTCATAGTCTAGGGTATGCTTGAACAATCGAAAGCTTTCTTGCTTGTGCTCCATTCCTTCATTGAGTGTCGCGCTTTGCGGCTGAATGAACTGGCAAAATTGCGCGTTGCGGTACGCTGGGGGAGCCGGGTTTCGGCTAGACCAAGGCCCTCGGGAGGATCCCAAAAGTAGATCCTCTAGATCCTCCCCGGGGTCCGGGCACTTAGCCAAACAGAGCTGAAGCTCGTGAAGCTAACATAGGGGCCTTAAACTTTAGAATAACCAGGAACGTGATACCGTCATCACCGAACACTATGCACTGCATGGTCACTTTTCCAAACCAACGGGACCGACTCCGATGCTGCTTAACCCCTGGACCCGAATCCACGCAAACGGCATTCCGATGGTCATAGGGGCGAAAGATTCTGCATGACAAAAGCCATCAAGACTTCAGATGTTGAACACTCGGGCCGAAAGACTTCACCCTGAATCTAAGAACCTTGGACTAGACCCCAAGCAGAACTTCATACCCTGAGCCCAAAGTTCGAAAACCCCTACACCCTACACAACCCTTAAGTAACAACTCCGCAAGACCTCTCGAAGAACTTGCGGCAATCCAAAAGCCCTGAACCCTGAACCCTAAACCGCTAAACCCTGAAAGCCCTAAAGGGTATCCCCAAGAGACATCCCGGCTTGCCTCGCGTCCGGCTTCCTTTGGGAAGCATCTTCTTAGGCTAAGTCTTAGGGTTTTTGGGGTCCAGGATTGGGGTTTAATTCTTTTTTTTGAATCAGGGTTGATCCTTTAGGCTAGACCCAAGAGTAACCCATGCATAAAAAGGATGCACTTTTTGGTTTAAAGGGGCTTATAAGGGAGCCTGAACCCTAAAAAAGGGAATAAGGGCCTACTCTAGGTCCTAGTGGGGTTTAAAGGGCCTCTTTGTGGTGCTCAGCTCTGTAATTCGCATTTTCATTTCAGCGAGTGCAGGCCTTCGCGGGTACGCATTTTAACTCGGGTTGCCGGCAATGCTGGTCCCTAAAGTTAAAAACATACACATAATATACATATATATATACATATATGTATAAATAAACAAAAAGATAAATACATAAACATATATACATATATATACACACATGTACATACATGTATATGTCTATCTGTCTATCTATCCATCTATCTCTGTATGTGTTGAGGCCATGCGAAGGAATAAAGCAAAAACAAGCAGCCTTGTTTGGGGCTGCACCCTTCCAAGAACGCCAAGGGTCCAAGTATGCAACAATTATATACTTTGCCAAATCCTAGCCTACATAACTACTACTCTAAACCCGAGTACCTGATTTTATTGGGTTCTTTGGACCCTTGGGTGAAGGTCCTACCCATCCCAATCCAGAGCCTTTTCCCTGACCTGGTTTGACGGAACCATTGGCTTTCGGTTTAGGGTTTAGGGTTTAGGCTTTAGGCTTCAGGGTTGGGGTTTAGGGTTTGGGGTCTTAGGGTTTAGGGGTTTGGCGTTTGGGGTTTCGGTTTAGGGTTTAGGAGCTGTAGCGAATCCTGCAAATCTCAAGGGGGACCACTAAGTTTAAGAACTGGTCGTTGCAGAGCAATGCAGACCCCTAGTTTACCTGCTCCCCTGCCTAAAGCCCTTGAAGAAAGTGAGTCGGCGATCGACCCAGACACCCCATTCAATACCCGAACATGAAACCATAAAGCGAACCCAAAAAAGTTGGAAACCGGAATTAAAACAGTTAGTTCTGGGACTACTTATACATGACTCTTAAGGATTGAGGCTCTTGGGTTTCCAACTTTTGGGCTTCTACTGTAGAGGGCTCTTGTTGCAACAATTCCATGGATTCACGCGTAGGGCCCTAGAACAAGGTTAATCCTTTCAAGTATGGTAGGATTATATAACCCCCAAAACGTTACAGTAGCGGTTAGAGTCTGGGACGGCGCGGCGGTGCCCTCACGTCCTATTCTGAAAGGTCTTGGTTACCTACTCAGCTACTAATTTGATCAGCCTAACTGGGCACACCCCCAAAACCCTAAACCCACTAGACCCGAAGCGTGCGCCAAGCCTTGCGCGACATTGCCAGCCCAGGAATGCGAGACCTGGGCGAGATTTCGTTGATTGAGGCGTTTTTTTGGTCTGAGGTTCAGCGTTGTCGGTGTAAAAACTCGGGTTTGGGATTAAGGCCGAAGTTTAGGGCTACCCTGAGGCTCCATGTACCCATATAGTATATACTTAGGCCTGAAAGGGGTCTCCTACATGGGTACTTTAGAGTGCAAGTATATAATGCTGTATGGGTGGTTGTCAAGATTAGGGTCCCTTTATGGGTACCCTAAATATTAGGTGCCGTATGATAATAAGGACCCCAAAAGGGGCCATAATTTTGACAACCACCCATATGGCTACATGGAGCCTTTGGGCTGGTTCTCGTACTTGGAGGATCAATGGACTTAGTCCGAATTTCCCGGTGGAAAATACTAAAAAGTCTCAGCTTCGTGCCACGCGTCTCCATCATCCCATCGCACTCGGTGAGACTGGCCTCTGGCTTAGTTGCTTTTCTTTTCGGCGGTTTGGTTTGGGGCTTTCTGGCACGAGGGTTCAGGGCTTCGTGGAGTTTGGATTTGGCACTTTAGTTTTTCAAGGTTACTGGAATGGGCTCAGGGTTCGTTAGGGTTCAGGGCTTTCCGGCTTAGGCTTCAGGGATTTACGGAAAATGTGCTCCGGTTTGGGCCTCGCCGAGCCCCAAGACACATATGCCACACTTCGCTGCTTGAGGTGCAGGATCTTGGATTCAGGGTTCTGGGTTGGGGACTCTTCTGAGAAGCAGACTTTACATAATAAACCGACCATCCAGCCACTTAAAGGGAACTCCAGAAAGTTGGAATATGGATTAGTGGTAGGATCCCCTGTAATTTACCTTAAAGGGGTTACGATAATGATATTCCAACTTTCTGGCTTCTACTGTAGCCAAGTAGAAGTGATGGCATCGGCACACCCACACGGACCAAGTCAACCCAACGCGAGATTCGGGTTGAGCTGCTGTTGAAAGGCTGGCAGGTGATTGCAAGCCCACTTGTCCAGTCTCCTAGGACATCTAGTGATTAATTAACTTGGATTGAATAAAGGTTAATTATAGAACAAAGCAAAAAAGCAAAAAGGTTGCTTACCCGAACCCTAAATCCTTAGTTGTTTGTAGATCTGGCGTTGAGTTCGGGCTTGGGGTTCTCTGGATACAACGAAGCGAACTTGCGCAAGCGCAATCTTTGTAACTGGATGCTCTTTGCTCATCAGTGCCCACAACCTGTGGCCCCAAACCCTACAAAATAGTAGGTTATGACGCCTTAATTAGAGGGTAGAACCCTTCAAACGGTAGGTTTTGGGATTCCAAGGAATCTGATACAGTTCCAAGCTCTTCGGGCTTCGGTTGCTTCGAATTAACTCACCAGTCAGCACTCTCAGAATCCCCAAAAGCCGTCCGGCAAGCAAGCTTTCTGAAGCAAGCTCTGTCGAGCGGAGCGCAGAATCTTTGCAGGTACAGGGAACTCCAGAAAGTTGGAATATGGTTTCATGGTAGGATACCCTATAATTTACCATAGAAGGGTTAGGATAATCATATTCCAACTTTCTGGCTTCTACCTTATCGGGATAGTCGAAAACCCTTTCCTCGCTAGCACAACGACCGCCGCACGCCACATCGTTCTCCGACAGAGCCGGGGCGGTGATGTTGTGTCGCACAGCCAACAGACTGGCCTCGCCGCTGAGTTTCAGCGCCTGATACACATCCTTCAAAAGGCCCGCAAAGCCTACTCCTATCACGTCCAGGGCCACTCCGAGCTTGACCAGAGCTTGACCACATGGAATGAATCTGGCAGCAGCATTCGTTCAGGACATTTAGAATCGAAAGATATAGGTATCCTCGAAACGGCAGGACCCGCATAGTGGCTCCTTTAACTTTAAGGATAGGGGTTTAGGGGTTTAGGGTTTAGGGCCCCAGAACACAGATTAGCCTTTAGGGATCTGGGGTCCATGTTGGGGCTCCGGTGTTGAGGCTCCCTTCTTGTTTCTACTTACGGTCTTTCTATGGGGTTAGGGTTCAGAGCCTGGGGCCCTTTTTGACGTGCGCTTGTTGGGGTTGAGGGGTTTGGGGAACCTGCCAAACTTCCGTCACAAAGGCCATACCCGGCGCCTACAACCCCACTGGTTGAGCACTCGAACCTCTTGGACGGTACCCTACACCCAGACCCCCGAAAGGATCTAGATAATTTGGGGCCCTATGCAAGCAAAGGTACTTTATAAGAACCCCCATTAAGGGATCTAGTTTTTGGATCCTCCCGGGGGCTCTGGACAGAAACTACGAACCTAACTCCTCGTGAGGTTGTAAACACTCCTCACAAAACCTGCAGTCTAATACAGGGGCCGTCATACTTGGAATAGAGCTTCGGGCGTAGTATCATGACAATACGGAACCCTTCAGGAAGCCTACATAGTACTTATCTAGGGTTCTTTAAACTCCAAGGAAGCCTTTATGCTACTTATTTAGGGTTCTTCACCCTCTAAGGAGTCCCTTGTAACACTTCTTCAGGATTCTTTAACTCTATGAAAGCCTTTATCGTCTGTTATGTAGGGCACTTTGCGGTTCGTTAAATTCCGAGGATGCCTGCATAGGACTCATTTAGGGGTCTTTAAATTCTCAGGAAGCTTTTCTGTACTTGTTTACAATTCGTTAAGTTTTTTTTTGAAACTCGAAGGAAGCCTCTTCTGCATGTGTTTAGGATTCTTTACTCTCATCTGCGACAACCGGGCCCAGAAAAGTTCAAACTTTCCAGGATAGAGCTAATATATAAGGCCAAAAAGTTTAAAGTTCCCCCGTTCACTATCTAGGCTAAAGATCTCTTTAAGGATCCCTTTATAGAACCCTTATAGATCCCTTTAAGGATCTCTTTGTTATAGATGATGCGATAGCGCAAGGGCAGCAGGTAGAACGGGGTCCCAGCGCTCGAAAAAGCCATGGAACTCTTCACAAGGAACCTCGAGTCAGTCTGACTTACCCTATGCCTCCAAGGGGGACCTTATTATTAGGGTTTTAGGGTTTAGGGTTTAGGGTTTAGGGTTTAGGGTTCAGGGTTCAGGGTTTAGGGTTTTAGGATTTAGGGTTTAGGGTTTAGGGTTTAGTACTCCAGGGACCTTATTATGGGATCCTTAAGGGGTCTTGGGCCCTAACTATGAGGTCCTCGGAGGGATAGGGTTAGGCTTTAGGCTCCATGGTCAATCATTTCGAGGGTTCTGACTTAGGGCTTACCCCAAGGCTCCTGGACCCTCGTAGTCGGATCTCAAACCTTAGCCCCCAGTTTCCGAACCCCTCGCCCAAACAGCCCATGACCCCTTTCGGAGCCTTAGGAGCTTAGGTTTTGTGGACAAATACGATTGATGATATAAATCCTGCATGACCTTAGGGACCCTAAACAATGGGAATTATTCTATATTCCTTATTATGGGTAATGCAGGATTGATATCATCAATATTTCGAGGCTTTTGGGCCCAAAGAGCATACTATACGAGGCTTTTGGGCTATTTTGTGCCGTATAACAGGGTCAGGGTCTAGGCTAGGGTGTAAGATGTTGGGCAATAGGCAATAGGCGGAGGGCTTTGCGTAGAAGGTTCAGGGTGTCCGGCGACGGCACTTAGCAATCTCCGTCGCCATCGGAGTCAAAACCGGCCATGGGGGTTTAGGGGTTTGGGGTTTAGGGGTCAGTTCCATCTGGAGCTGTCCCGGCGTGGTCTCCCCGGCTTCCTCCTTGTTCCCTCCCGGCCTTGAAAGTGCTGCACGTATCTAGCAGCTCCCAGCAAGACACAGTACACGGAGGCACGTGATCCCTTCACTCTGGCATTGTCAATCTTGACCACACCGTCAGCGAGGAAACCATGCCCAGGCAAGCGCAGGAACTTCGGCAAGGCCTCGTAAGAGGTGAACTTGGCCGCCGTAGCGGCGCATATGATTTCACCCTCGGCCAACGGCTTCCCAGTTTGCTTGCGGTCTGTCAGCATGCCGATCTGCTCAGAGAGGCCCTTGATGCTCTTCTTGATTTTCTTTGCCTCCTGCTGCAGGGAAAGCCTCTCGAAGTTGGTGTGGTCGGTCTCAGTCCACTGCAGCTTGCATTGGATTCTGCGACGCTGCTCTAGTTTCCAACATCTTAAACCCTAATTAAACCCTAAACCCCTAAACCCTAATCCCTATGTAAACAGGTTCAAGGAACTATGCTTTTGGGCTTGCTTGCGCTTCAGGATACAATCGGACACAGCCCGGAAAACAGCTGATCCTCACTTGGTGGATCATGGGACTTAGTAAGTAGGGTTATAAGTACCCTAATTGGGGTTATAAGTTTATATAAGTATAGTTGCCTTAATTATAACCCTAGTTACTAAGTCCCATGACCCTTTAAGCAGTCTTCAAAGATCCCTTGGATCCGTTGAGGGGCCTGGTTCCAGGATCGAGCCTCCTCACTGAGCGTGTTTCTAAGGTCGGGTGTGAACCACAGATCTCTTAGACAGGAACTTTCAAAGACCGTACTCTAAGGGTCCATGTACCCAAATAGTATACACTTTGGCTTTAAAATAATGCACTTTAAGGCCTAAGTATATACTATTTGGGTACATGGACCCTTAGGGATATTCTCAACCCTTACGTTTGAGGAGCCCTAAACACTTATCCCTGCAAGCCTGCTGAGTAGTCTGGGCCGTGTGCATTTGTTCTTACAGGTAGGCTTCGCAGTGTCCCGTGCACCCAACCGAGCCATGCACCCACAAGTGCTCAAAATCCAACATTTCGCACCCTCAAGTGCACGGATTCCCTTCCCCAAAGATAGAAGGAACAAACCGCAAAGTCACATCGCAGCATTCGGCTAAACTCAACGCCGGCTTTCTCACTTAATTATAGTTTTCATTCCAGGATCAATACCATGTGCGTGTAGAACCATTTGTTAAGGGCTTTTTTTAGCTGGGCAAGCCTTACTTGGAGGGTCGGAGGACTTAGTAACTAGTCATTTTGCAGACTTATAAGTACCATAACCCCAATTAGGATCCCTTTTAAGGTACTTATAAGTCT